CTTCTAGACTCTTCAAATGCTTGAAAGCAGAAGTCCAGTCTTGATTCTTTGATCTGTTTCTTCAAGATCTTCTCTAACGCTTCTTTTTACAGCCGAATTTTATAAAATAAATGTTCAGGGCTTTTAGAATCCATCAAAGTCTTGGATTCAGTCTTAAATCATGAGCTTTATATGAGATGTTCAATTGATTAGAGTCAAGCTGCTTTTTTTTGTAAAGCACCTCTATTCATCGGTGAGATTTGAGGTTTATATCAGATCTTAGAACTCCTATGGTTATTGCTGTGAGTCTGTTTTTGAAAAATAAGGAAGATTCAACGAATCAAGAGCCGATAATAATGAAAAATTGGACTATTACTGGCTCTTGATTCGCTGCCTGACAATCAAGAGCTGAACTTTGAATACCGTCTGCTGCTCCTGATTCGTTTTCGCAATCAAGAACCTATGATAGTTGAATTTTGACTATTACGGGCTCTTGATTTGCTGAACATTTTATTTGAAGCTAATCAAGAGCCGATAATAATCAAAATTTGAACTATTGTCGGCTCTTAATTGAATGAAAACTTTCTCTGAAGCCAATCAAGACCCGGTAAAAAATCAAAATTTTATATTTTGCTAGCTCTTGATTGACTGGAAATTTTCTCTGAAGCAAATCAAGAGCCGGTAATAATCAAAATTTGAACTGTTACCGGCTCTTGATTTGCTGGAAACTTTTCTCTGAAGCCATTCAAGCGCCGGTAATAGTCAAAATTTGATATTTTGCTGGCTCTTCATTGGCTGGAAATTTTCACTAAAGCCAATCAAGAGCCGGTAATATTCAAAATTTGATATTTTGCTGGCTCTTGATTGGCTGTAAATTTTCTCTAAAGCGATTCAAGGGCCGGTAATAATCAAAATTTGAAGTATTACCGTCTCTTGATTCACTGGAAATTTTCTCTAGAGCCAATCAAGAGCCGGTAATAGTCAAAATTTGATATTTTGCTGGCTCTTCATTGGCTGGAAATTTTCACTAAAGCCAATCAAGAGCCGGTAATATTCAAAATTTGATATTTTGCTGGCTCTTGATTGGCTGTAAATTTTCTCTGAAGCGATTCAAGGGCCGGTAATAATCAAAATTTGAACTGTTACCGTCTCTTGATTCACTGGAAATTTTCTCTAGAGCCAATCAAGAGCCGGTAATAATCAAAATTTGATAATTTGCTGGCTCTTGATTGACTAGAATTATTCTCTGAAAGCCAATAAAGAGCCGGTAATAATCAAAATTGGAACTATTTATTATAGGCTCTTGATTACCTGCTGGACAATAGTAGGTAAAGGGTCACTTGTAGGGTTGCCAGACCTCCTATTTTTAATATGAGACTCATATATTTTAACTGTTTCTCATATCTCATATTAGCATGTTTAATATGAGACTATTTCTCATATATTTTATTCAAAAAAAGGAACCATCTATATCACTACTGTACACGTGATAGGCTGGAGTGTCATGCGTTCATTATCCGACCATCTGATGCCATAACTTGTTACAAGAAATGAGTCTACACTTTTTCCAATTGTATTTCAGAGAGTGTCAAATGTATTTCAGAATAGCCAAATGTATTTCAGAATAGCCGAATGTATTTCAGAAAGCGTTAAATCTATTTCAGAATAGTTAAATGTATTTGAGATAGCGTTCGATGTATTTCAGAATAGTTAAATGTATTTCAGAAAGCGTTAAAGGTATTTCAGAATAGCCAAAAGTATTCCAGAAAAAGAAAATTCGGCGGAAATAATTTAGGAGGGACAAAAAATTAGCTACCTATGTCTGTGCAGCTTTTCCTCTGTGAGCCCGACTGACCCAACAGGAGCTTAATAGTAGCATTTAATTATTCTGAAATTCATTTAACGCTTTCTGAAAAACATTTAACTATTCTGAAATACATTTAACTATTCTGAAATACATTTGACGCTCTCTGAAATACATTTAACTGTTCTGAAATACATTTAACTATTCTGAAATACATTTGACGCTTTCTGAAATACATTTGGCTATTCTGAAATACATTTACCACCTTCTGAAATACAATTGGAAAAGGTGTAGTCTGACGAATCAGGAGGAGCATCTAACTACCTAAAAGAATGTCCAGCAATACATTCCAAAATCTGCTAAAAATCATAGCTATTTGTCAAGATGGGAGCTTTTTCGGATTTGGGCATTTTGCTGTACATAAAATGCTCTCATATATTATTATCCAATCTTATATAATTTTATAGAAGGTCTCCTATTTTCAAAACTCAACTATCTGGCAACCCTAGTCACTTGAGTCTGGGAACTTTTTCGAAATCATCAGCTTAGAACCAGCTTGAAAGCAGCACAAAACCAGATTGAAACCAGTACAAAACTAACTTGAAACCAGTGAAAACCAGCTCGAAACCAGTGAAATATATCTATAAAGCAGAAGCAGCATTATATTTTTGATCCAATGTCGGTATGGTCTCGAAGCAAATGAGGGCAATTATCTAGGTTTTTCATATTTTTTGGCTAATCCAATAAATGTATAGCATTGGTGTTGGTTGTTATTCTTTGATGAATGCTGCACAAATACTGGATTTTGATTGGATTAGTAGAAAAAATATGAAAACCCTAGATAATTTCCACATTTGCTTCGAGACCATACTGGCATACTGATCAAAAATATAATGCCGCTGCTTCTGCTTTATAGATATATTTCACTGATTTTCATGCTGGTTTTGATTTTGGTTTCGAGCTGGTTTTCACTGGTTTCAAGGTAGTTTTGTACTGGTTTCAAGCTGGTTTTGTGCTGCTTTCAAGCTGGTTTTAAGCTGATTTCGAAAAAGTTCCCATCAAGTGACCCTATACCTACTTACCGGCTCTTGCACCGTTGCAAAATATGTGGGAGGGCAGAGCTGGGCAGGGCTTGAGTGCTTTGTGCTTGCGAAAGTGCTTGAAGCACTTTGAGGGCTTGAAAGCCCTGTGCTTCAAGCCCTTTTTATAGATTTGTAATTGGGGCTTGCAAAGTCAACTACTTTAGAAAAGTGCTTGGTAATTTGTAATTGGAAAAAGTAATTCAAGCCCTTTCAATGAGCTTCAATTACTTTTAGAGGGCTTGAAGCACTTTTGGGAGCTTGAAGCCCTTTGAAAGGACTTGAAGCACTTTAAGAGGGCTTGAAGCACTTTTGGAAGCTTTGAGCACTTTGAAAAGGGCTTGAAGCACTTTGAAAGGGCTTGAAGCACTTTAAAAGGGATTGAAGCACTTTGAAAGGAATTTGAATTGACCATCATTCAACCTATCCCCCACTTAAAAATTTTCGATCGTGTTTTGTCCTTAATTTTTTTTTCTATTATTTGTACTTGAACCGTCTTATGTCTTTTCTCTCTTACAATGGAGGTTTTGGGTTTGAGCTTAGAATGGAATTTAAAAAAAAATTAATGAACTTATTATTCAAATAAATAATTAATTTATATTGGTACCCTATTTAACTTTATCACTGGATTTTTTCCACTTTTCTCCATTGAACATTTTGAAAACCTTAAAATTGAACTACCATGTAGTACCCCAAGTAGCCCAGAACTACATCTAAAAAAAAAACATACTACTGCTACTCTGTGAAATGTAAAGTTCGTCTCTACTATACCAATTCTCTGTGATGAGTGTACGCGGTAGCTTATGCCACTTTGAGAATTTTATTACAAATTCAAAGGCACATTTAAAGAACTTCAAGCACATTTAAAGAGCTTGAAGTACATTTAAAGAGCTTGAAGCCCTTTTCAAGGCACCCCAAGCACTTTTGATGTGCTTCAAGCACTTTTCAAATCACTTTGAGGGCTTTGTGCTTGTCAAGCCCAAAGCACTTTGAGGGCTTTGTGCTTGTGAAGCACTTTTGAAAATAAAAAGGAATTTGTGCTTGAAATTGAAGCACTTTGATAGAGGGCTTAGGGCTTAGTGCTTCAAGCCCTTTTACTGAGGGCTTTGCCCAGTTCTGTGGGAGGGGTTATCAGACCCGGAGTGATCTCACCAAACATCCAAGTACCAAACGGGAATGTGAGAAAGGTGACCGAACTCACTGCTTCTTCTGCGAAAAATCCTTTGGATCCTACCCCGTAGCAAGACTTCATGAGCAGAAAGCACATTAGCAGGAGTATACAGCTGACTTCAGCAAACCTCCTTCCGGGGGGCAGTTCAAAGAACAGAGTTGTGCGTCCCGAACCCACCCGGAAGAGACCGAAACCAAAGTCTCCCACTAACACTAATAGCCCACTCCATCGGACACCTAAACGTCAGAGTGACATTCATAGATGATCACCCCGCACCAGCTTAAAACCAACTAAACCAGCATAAAACCAGCTTGAAACTAGTGAAAACTACTGAAAAACGCCGTTTTTGTGCCGGTTTAGCCGGTTTTAGCTAGTTGAAGATCAAGAGCTGCATTTTGAATGTTGTCTGCTCCTGATTCGTTTGGTAATTTTTTCCAGTAGGCAATCAAGAATCCATGCTTGTCAAATTTGGACTATTACCGGCTCTTTGATTTACTGGAAATTTTCTCTGAAGCCAATCAAGAGCCGGTAATAATTGAAATTTGAACTATTCATTACAGGCTCTTGGTTCGCTGCTGGACAACAGTAGGTATAGTATTTTTAATACCCATTTGGAATATAGCCTCATCTTTGTTCATCAATCACGAATCAGATGAAACAAAAAACTACAAACCAATCAAAAATAACTAAAACGACTCAAAAATACACTATATAGATTCACTTGATTCTGAGAACTTTCTCGAAGCCAGCTTAATACCAGCTGAAACTAACAAAATCAGCACAAAACCAGCTTAAAACCAGTGAAAAACGCTGAGCAAAACCCAATTGCTAGTTTCATACTGAAAGTTAATTATTGTATTAATAAAAATTAACTAAACCCTGTTTACTCAAATAAAAATTGATAAGGCATTTGTCTGTCGCGTTCCACAAACCCAAACCACTGTCGATGTTGCGTGGAGCAATATATTAAAACTATTTTCAGCAGGCGCAAGTTCAGTCGATATTTCAGGCAATTTTGCTGTGCAGCAGACCCGTGCATCGACCAGCGGAATAATTCTTGTGATACTTTTTTGAGCCTTATCTTTGTGGTGCGACAAAACTGTGATACCCTATACCGCAAAAGAAATTTTTGTCAATTTAGCGTGTTTTCGTCAGATAAAAGTCGATCTTTTTGCATTCCAAGTTTTAGCCACGAGGAACAAAATAGTGGTGAGTATTTTTATTTATTTTTTTTTGCGAAATCAGCGCACGTTATTTACTTATTATTTTTAGATTGTTCTAGTTTTAATATGCGTATGAGAAACCATTTAAAGGTGTGATTACAACAAAATTATTTAAATCCCCTTTGTGTTAAATACCCAACCTTGACACAATACCCTATAGTTTATTTCATTTTATGCAAATTCTATCAAAATTGCTAAAAAATTGTTACATCACCAGAAAAAGTAGGTACAATAAACCGGACAAAACAGGCGATTAATAGATAATACATGCCATATTAATGATAAAAACACATCTGTATGTCGTGTACCTTTGCAAATCACTTTCTCCTTTGACAATTTGTGTAATTTCATGATTAAATTCTTATGCATGTCCTGTGCAATTATTTATTTTTGATCAGAAAAATTGCCAATTTGTCCGATTTCGTTGGTTACTAAGTTTTAGTCCTCAATTCTTTATGTTATTATGTTAAGTTTATGAAATATAAATTAAGGAATTGGATAATACACCGACCGTAATTGACTGAAAAAACTTTTAGTTCTTGGTAATCCTGCTATTATAAGTCTTCTATTGAAATCGTGTCCAATTATAAAAATTCGCATTATCATAATCGGCTATTGATTACCTAAATAGCCTTCATAGTTTTTCTTATGCGGAACTATAGCTTGGCTCCCACATGTCTTTAGGAACATTGATTTTTTTCGACTCAGCCTGAATTCGAAAGCGAAACAATTTATCTTCTTTGAAGGCAGGAAATTATGTAATTATTTCTTTATAAAGGTGTTTGCATGAGACAACTTATTCTTAGATTGTAGACTTACCTTCTTGGAAGTTAGAATATGGAATATGGAAAAATATGAGAAGTAAGTATATAGGGTGAAAGGTGAAAGTACCTGTTGTCGGCCACTTAAGGCAAATTCTGGAATAAAATGGCGATTGAAAATTAGTGGATAGAGCGAATCGAATTTAAATAATGTTTTATGATAGATTCCTGCAACAAAAAAAGGTTAAAAGGTTTTGCATTTTTGTAGAAAAATGCTTTATTCAAAAAACGTGCATTTTGCCGGTTGTCGGACAATCATTACATTTCTCGGACACAAAGGGACCCGTTGTCGGACACGTGTCCGAGAAATACGTTTTCTCGTCCACATAAACTAGTAGGTACATGCTAAATAGTACCAGTTTGGGCACCATAGAGTTGGGCACTTCTCACAACCAATATTTTATTTTGGAATTTTTATTTTCTTCCATCATTGTTTGCACTTTTTGTGGTATTTTGTTTCTCTAGTCCTCTTGTTTATTTTTTTGTACTTCAAGTTTTTTTTTTTTTTTTCTCATTCCTTTCTTCCATAATATGATCTCCATGCCTTCAATGAGATGGCACTTGGTAAATTCTCTTTTTTTTGTATTCTTGGCTCTAATTTGATAGGTTCCGGAAATTGGGGGTGGCGACTGAAAGGACTTACAGCAACGGCAACATTTGGCAGTTTAATGGGAGTTTTTTCGAGCCTCCAGTCCTTATGTCTGTTGTTTTATCAGGTTTCTCAGTTCCAGGAAAATCACTTTGATCTTTAGGAGATTTTTCCATTGCTTCTTCAATTTCTATTTCATAAATACTTTTATCAGATTTATTCTCTGTACACTTGTAACACTTTTTTATTAAAAGCAGAAAGCACTACCCCATACCCCATACCCATATAAGTAATGTAAAATGTCCGAGAACTTTACACCTAACTTTTCTCGGACACCTTTTCAGGTATACTACAATTTAACGCCTTTGTGGTTTATAGTGTCCACAATAGAATCTCGATACAGTCTTCTAAAAAACATCAACAAAATATCGAAAAATGGAGTAGGAACATTTTTACTTACTATTTCCTTCTTAGCTTCACACTACCAAACTTTTTCACTTGATCAAAAGGGCTGTGTTGGAAAAAACAGCAGATATATTATTATTTTTCTTAATTTGGTCTAGGCCCGTAAAGAGGGCGGTATTGCAGAAACTGGTGGGGAAATAGTGTTTGAAAGTAGATACCTATTACTCTAAAAAGAGGTTTGATATAATATTTTCCTATTTATTGAATATTTTGTCATAAAGTGTCCGACAACAGGGGGTGGCCGGCTAACAGGTACTTTCACCCTATGTAACTACGTAGTAGGTATTTCTCTGGAAAGAGAAAGAAATCTCACATCCTGGTTTCCAAGATGTTAAGTGTTGAGAATTTATCTGATGGGCCACTTTCTCTAACTCATCCTTTCCAGGAACGCGTGTGAAGTTAGCAAACAATTCTCAGCAACGATTTTTCAGGAGAAGCGCATTACCGCCAGCAGTAATTAGGGTCAATTTAATAGGTAGTTATCAGTGGCGTAACTTCAGATTTTGGACCTGGGGGCAGAGTGGTTTGGCGAGGCCCAATTACGATACACCATACTGCAATATTCTGTTTGTCTAAGAGCCGAATTCTAGACTCGCTGGTAACATCTCTGGCAAATTTACCCTGCTGGTAAAACTAAAAAATGAATGCAACACAGGCCTTATGAGGATAGACCAATCCTGTGTGTATCATCCTTGACGAGTCGGTTCATAATTTGGCTCTAACTTAGAGGCCTTAGAGTCTAATAAGGCCTGGTTTATTCATCTTCTGATAAACTTGCTGGGAAATATCTGCAAGATAAATTGACCGTTTTTTAAATTCTGGTCGGCGGATAAATGGCTGACCAATGGGATTACAGATTGCGTGTTTATCCGTCAGATGCCATACCTGACGGTTTATCAGGGGGTGAATAATACGGCCCTAACTCATAAGAGCCCGGAAAAAATTCTTTTGCGAAAACCCCCTACCATCTTCCACGTTAACAGCCAACACTACCGAGGGCGATTTTACTTTTTGCGAAATACCTACATTTCCCAAAAAAATTTGGGTAGTAAATAGAAGAGGATAATACACACATCTAAGAATTGCTTATCGGCCTCGTTTTTGCTAATCGCCGCCATATTAGGCAATTCAAACCACGTGACATTCAAGATGGCGTGGCGGCCACACATGGGCCAAAAAACACAAAAAAATATCTAGTTTCTGCCCGAATTAATAGTTAAGGTACCTAGTCAACAAATATTTTATTAAATAATGAAAATCAAAGTTGTAAGCAAAACTGTATGCAAAATAATTTAAAATACGCATAAAAACATATTCAAAACAAACTTGCTTGGCCGCCACGCCACATTGAATTTTCCTTTTTGACAGATGGATTGAATTGCCTAATTGGTGTATCACCATTTCCGACGTCATAACTAAGGCGTCAGCTGTTTGCATTAGTGGTGGTAGTTTAGAATTTAAAATGAAGAAAATTATTATTTAATTTTGATTAACATAATAGGAAATAGGCAAAGGGGAAGATGAAAACGAGATCTAAAAAAGAATTCTTTTAGAATGTTATTTATTCTAGTAAAACCAAGTATGCAGTGGCGTAGCTAGGCGTCGGCGACCGCCGACGGCCTCGCGCCTTAAGGAGCCTCGCAAAAAATAGGTTACCGAACCTAAAAATTGACACTTTTCGGCTTTCCAAAATAAAACGTAGAGAATAAATAAACTTAATCGAGCGACTCACCCCCGGGTTAAGCATAACTCCAGGGTAGGCATAGCAACTGGACACAGATCACCTAAGTGCAGATGTGTAAGTTAGGCAGCGTTCCGTAAGTTAACCAAGATTCCTGGTTTTTCCGGTTGCCGTTCCGTAACCTAACCACTCCTGAAATCTGGTTAGGTTCTGAAACGCGGTTCCTGAAAAATTCGGTAACAACTGTCAACCGAATATAACGATCAAAAAGCTTGGTTTTTTAGGTTTGTTTTCAATTTCTGACATTTGTTTGTTAGGTTAGGTGATGATCTTTTAATTTTTTTATTTTTCTTCCGCTTTCGACGTGTATTTGCGGTAGAAATGGAACAAGAGGTGCCTGACGATTGCTTATTACAAATATATTTTTAAAAGCATAATCTATCATTAAGCATCCAAGCTAAACCAAAGCTGAACCGAAGGGTTCCACACATAAACCGCATTTTCAGGAACCAGACTGTTACCATAGATGAACCACTTATTACCGATCGGTAACTCTGGTTAAGATACGGAACGCCGCCTTAGTATCCTTGCCGTCGTCGATTCAAAGCTACGAAACCACGGCTCCGCAAGGAGGCCAGCCGCCTGACGCATAGGCACAGATCGTCCGCGTCAGGACATTTATAGTGCGTGAGCGTGTTCCAGCCTGTTGTGTTTACATATAACCTTGAACCACGAATTCACCGCTCTTTCGCATCTGAATGTAGGTGATGTGTGCCCTGGAGTTAAAACCAACCCGAAGGTGACTCGCTATTGAGAAACCGGCCCTGGAGCTTACTGCAAATTAACCTAGGAGTCTCAAATCACATGGTTTTTATTTTTTCGGTAGATTGTTGGTATTTCGATAAATCGGTAAATGTGGAAAGGTTCTTATCACGTATTGTTGTTGAATTCAATTAATTAGCACTTTTCCTAACTGGCAACTGACCGAGACCTAAAAATATGGTCACCATACGTACAGTGGGAATCATTGAAATCATTGCAATTGGCACATACTATATACTCTTTCAACATCCCTCGTGCTGAGTCCAAATTTTAACCAAAAAAATCTATTTAGTGCAGTGGTGTACAAATATTTTGTCTCCCTTTAACAACTTATCAAAACTATCATGTCCACCACTGATCTATCAATCTGACACCATTTTGACATTATACCTGTGTCCTGTGTGTGAAAGTATTGAAATTCTGACATATTACGATGGATGTTTATATAGTATGTGCCCATACTGCCCATTGCAATGATTCTCACTTTACCAGTATTTCGCTGTATTGTACAGTCGTGAGCAAGAAGCCTATTAGCCGGACATTGGCTCCGTCAAGTTAGCCCCCCACATTCGAATTTTCTAACAAAATTGCAACCACTTACTGTGCTGGAAGTGTGCTTTACTGTGCCGATGATATTTTGAACTGTGCCGCTCCGATACCAAGGTTATAGGAAAAACAAGATGAGGGGCTAACTTGACGCTCAGCCCCCCCAAAATTTTGGAAATCAGATCAAATAAAAATATATTCCTATGCAATCTGAAGTGTGCTGAACTGTGCTGTATCAGGTTTTTCTCAAAATTTCCATATTCGGTAATTTTCCGACAAAATGCTTCTGATGGGACTAACTTGACGCTCACTCCCCCCAAAATTTTGGAAATCAAATCAAACAAATATCGATTCCTATCCAATCTGAAGTAGGCTGGACTACCTATACTGTAACATGTTTTTCTCAAAATTTCCATATTTGGTCATTTTCCGACAAAAGCCTACTGGGAGTGGTAACTTGACGCTCAGCCCTATCAAAATTTTGAAAATCGAATCAAACAAAAATGGATTCCTATTCAATCTGGATTGTAGAATAGACTGAATTTCAATTTTTTGTAGGATACACTTTAATAGCGGAATCCGTTCGCAAAATTAGTGTGGCACTCACCCACACCCACTCCGAGCGATAAAATATTTGCACTGGTGCACATTGGATAAGAATCCATTTTTGTTTAATCTGATTCGCAAAATTTTGGGAGAGCTGAGCGTCAAGTTAGCCTCTCTAGTAGGATTTTGTCGGAAAATGACCGAATATGAAAATTTTGAGAAAACCTGATACAGCACAGTTCAGCACACTTCAGATTGCATAAGAATCAATTTTTGCTTTATCTGATTTCCAAAATTTTGGGGGGACTGAGCGTCAAGTTAGCCCACCCAGTAGGATTTTGTCGGAAAATGAGCGAATATGGACATTTTGGGAAAAACCTGATACAGCACAGTTCAGCACACTTCAGATTGCATAAGAATCCATTTTTGCTTGATCTAATTTCCAAAATTTTGGGGGGGCTAAGCGTCAAGTTAGCCCCTCATCTTGTTTTTCCTATAACTTTGGTATGGGAACGGCACAGTTTAAAATATCATCGGCACAGTAAAGCACATTTCGAGCACAGTAAGTGGTGTCAATTTTGTTAGAAAATTTGAATGTGGGGGTGCTAACTTGACGAAGCCTTGGACATTAACTTAACTAACATAATAATGACGAATAATGACGACCTATAACTAAAGAGACAGCGTCTTTTATATTTTAAAACATGTTGATCTTGCTATTTCTATGGGAGCGTTGCGACGATGGAGCAGAGTTCTTGGCGTGACATGTTCAGACAGGATAACTTCCTGAATTAGCGTCTAGACTTTGCGATACTTTGTACAACCGTGGAGATGAGATGCGTCTGGGAGGTCATTGTAGTCGTGAGATCCAGATAACATACTTATATTGTTTCGATTTTTTTTTTTTTTTTCACATAAAGGTACCTATAAGAACACGTTTCTATAAATTTTCCTTCAAGAAGGTGTTTTCAAACATAAAATCAATATGCCACAAATAACTATTTTCGCATGGGAAAATTAATGAAACTTATTATAATCTTTATTTAAAAAAACTTGAACAAGAAACAAAAAGTCACGTCATTGCCCTTGTCCAAAATACAAAAATTGATTAACCACTGCTGGCGGTAATGCGCTTTTCATGAAAAATCGTTGCTGAGAATTGGGTGCTAACTTCACACGCGTTTTCCATGAGAGACCAAAAACTTCTCCCTTTCAAATATCTGTCTTAAAACCAAAGAAAGAATTTCACAGCAAATTTTTCTGATTTAACTCCATATTTCTCATCTACCAATCATCATTGGTATATTTCATTCTCTTTGCAGTTATATCTATCCAATACAAGATAAATCTGGATATTACCCAAAATTAAACGCTGACTAACGTCCGTATTTTATTTGGCATAGACCAAATATCCCAAATTAAAATCCTGGCAAACGATGCGAAATATTAAAGCAAACTTGTTTATTTTCTTTAATGTGATCCTGTATATTGGACCACAACCAATTAAAAATGTCCCAAAATAACTTGTCTGTTGACTATTTACGTTTTATTTATATAATTTGGCTCACAGGACAACATGATTTTTTAATTTTTGTAATCTATAATTATAAAAATTAATAATTTCTTTTCCAGATACAGTTTCATCATACGATGCTCCAAGTGTTGGACACCTGCAGTGCCTGAAACGTCCAAAACAAACCTCTACAAGAGGATTGGTATCCCATTTTTACTGTCCCCTTTGAACGGTAATTGATGAGAGGTCACGGGACTAAACGAATTCTATCGTCCATACCAAACACCCAGTTAGGTCGGGATCCGAAAATTAATCTCCAAGGCTGGTCCAAGCGGTGGATGAGTTTTTCACATAAAAATTTTAATAGTATTATTCCAATCAATTGAAATCTTTCATTGGTTTAATTTGATTTGATTTTTTCCCCATTTGTGTGCATCATGGATACCCAAAAACAGGCTCCTTTAGTTTCATTGTCAACTGTAGTCCCTTCTTTAGATTCAACGCCAGCCAAAACTCCCAATAGCTATATCATTGCTCCCGCTCCTACAGATGATAAAATAAGTGAAGTTCGCTTCAAAACTGATTCTATATGCTCTTCCGCATCTTCTTCAAGCTCGGAAGAAGAAGATGAAACAAAACCCAATATCCCTGACGGAGGTTGGGGTTGGGTAGTAGTATTTGCCTCGTTGTGTCTTTCTATGGTAGCCGATGGTGTTAGTTTATCGTTTGGTTTACTTTATATTGAATTCCTGAAAGAATTTGAAGCCTCCAAAAGTACCACCTCTTGGATTGGTAGTCTTTTTATGGCAGTACCTTTACTGACTGGTCCCATTATGAGTGCTTTAGTTGATAAATACGGATGCAGGTTGATGACAATAGTAGGAGGAATTATTTCAGCTATAGGTTTCATTATTAGTTCAAAATGCAACTCCATTGGAGTAATGTACTTAACGTTTGGTATATTGGCTGGTTTAGGTTTGGGCCTGTGCTACGTCACAGCAGTAGTTTCAATAGCTTTTTGGTTTGACAAAAAAAGAACCTTGGCTGTAGGCATTGGAGCTTCAGGAACAGGAGTTGGTACTTTTATATTTTCTCCGTTGACCAATTTCTTGTTATACGAATTTGGATGGAGAGGCACTACGTTGATATTGTCAGGATGTTTTTTGAATATGTGCGTTTGTGGAGCTTTAATGAGGGATCCTGATTGGATAATTGAGCAAAACAGGTAAGAATTGCCTATGTTTTAAAAAAAATATCCAATTAAAAATAATACCTTTCAGACAAAATTCCAAATCAAAATTAACAAAATCAGAAAAATCCAGCAAGACAAGTTTAGTATCAGTATCATCAGCCAATCCTTCCACAGCCATTGATATAGCCGAGCTTAAATCATTATTAACGAGTGGCAAAAATGCCGAATTCCTATTAGAAGACTTGGAAACGTCCGTCGAAAATGATGAGGACAAAGAAAAAATTAAAAAATATTTCTCATCTACTTTAAACTTGCCAACATTTGTGAAGCAAAACGAAAGGGTGCCATTTGAAGTGCTGGAACTATTGAGCAGAAACAAGAAGCTGTACCATGTGATTATCCAAAACTATCCTAGTTTACTTTTGAGCAGAAGCTCATCCATTGATAATGCCTTAAATAGAGTAAAGAATGAACCCATTGATAGGGTACCAGTAACTTTTAGTATGAAATTGAAAAAAGAAGATAAACCTAAAGTAACAATAATTGAAGAGAATAAACGTGTCAGAACAAGATCACCACTCACTCAACAAGTAAGTTTTCTGACTATTTTATTATTTTTGTTAATGTATTTTTGTAGGTCTCACTTCCAGAAAGTCACGATATACCATCAATGGAACCACTGATTGGTACCAAACAACCAAAAATGCGTCAAAACGCCTCTTTTCCCAAATTCAGACAACAATTTGGCAATACAATTCGGCACGATAGCTATTTTAAAAATTTAAAAGTCCACAGACAATCGTTGATACATAGAGGCGCTATTTTCAATACGAACAAGTATAGATTCAAGGCATCTAGTTGCCCTAATATATTTAGGGTGTCGATGATGTCGTTGCCCAAACAAAGGGAAGAGGTAATAGGATTTTTATTGGATGATGAGCATATTTTTAACTGATATTGGCTTGATTTGCCAACGCATATTTGATCTGTTTTAAAATGGTTTGGGGTTGGATCTGGAATGAATTCAAATTTCCCAAATTAACTATCATTTGAGCTTCAGTAGACCATATTGAAGTTAGACCCGATATAAATCAGAGCTGTCAATACTTGAAATTCTACTACGAGTTTTTCATAATTGATGATTTGAAAATATTCAAACCGTGTAATTTACAATACTCTCAGGTTTATAGTTTTTGAGAAAATTGCGTTTAAAGTTTTTGACAAAATTTAGAGTAAAAATCAACTTTGAGGCTCGATTAATCCAAAGCTTTCCAGGCAATCAAACTCAATTTCGGACGGATTTATAGAGAATTTAATGCTTTTTCCGATGGTATATAATTTATTCCAATTTGCTTGAAATTTAACAAAGATATGGGCAATTGCTCTAGACCGTCAAGATTTTGAAAATTTCCCAGGACCCAAAAATAGGATTTTCTATTTATTTTTGTTTCTGCTTAAAATGGCCATTTGGAAATAATGTCAGGGTTGTTTTCCACTAATTTGGACCCGCTCTATCGATTGGTAAAGTCAAAATTGAGCAAAACTGAAAAATAAAAAAATCGAGTTTTTCATGAGGATAACCCCTTTGAATTCTGATTTCAAAATATTCAAACCTCAATTGCTCGGTAACCGTTGAGCAAATTACATTGAAATTTTCAGCATTTGTAGCTTTTATCAAGCTCTAAAAGGCTTGTAATTTACAATACTCTCAGGTTTATAGTTTTTGAGAAAATTGAGTTTAAAGTTTTTGACAAAATTTAGAGTAAAAATCAACTTTGAGGCTCGATTATTCAAAAACTTTCTGGGCAATCAAACTCAATTTTGCACGGATTTATAGAGAATTTAATGCTCTTTCCGATGGTATATAATTTATTCCAATTTGCTCGAAATTTAACAAAGATATGGGTAATTTCTTATGCCCATGTCAAGATTTTGAAGATTTTTGAGACCCAAAAAAAGAATTTTCTTGTTATTTTTGCTTCTGCTTGAAATGGCGATTTGGAAATGATATCAGGGTTGTTTTGCACTAATTTTGACCCGCTCTATCGATTGGTAAAATCAAAATTGAGCTAAACTGAAAAATAAAAAATCGAGTTTTTCATGAGGGTAACCCCTTTGAATTCTGATTTCAAAATATTCAAACCTCAATTGCTCGGTTACCGTTGAGCAAATTGCATTGAAATTTTCAGCATTTGTAGCTCTTATCAAGCTCTAAGATACCTGTAATTTACAATATTCCCAGATTTAAAGTTTTTTAGAAAATTGAGTTTAAAATTTTTGATAAAATTTAGACTAAAAGTCAACTTTGAGTTTTAATTATTTAAAAACCTTCGAGGTTATAGAGCTCAATTTTGCATAGATTTATAGAGAATTTAATGCTCTTTCCGATAGCATATAATTTATTCCAATTTGCTCGAAATTTAACAAAGATATGGGCAATTGCTTATGCCCATGTCAAGATTCTGAAGATTTTTCAGACAATAATACAATTTTCTTTGTTATTTTTGCTTCTGCTTGAAATGGCGATTTGGAAATGATGTCAGGGTTGTTTTCCACTTATTTTGACCCGCTCTATCGCTTGGTAAAGTCAACATTGAGCAAAACTGAAAAATAAAAAAATCGAGTTTTTCATGAGAGTAACCCGCCTTTTGAATTCTGATTTCAAAATATTCAAACCTCAATTGCTCGGTAACCGTTGAGCAAATTGCATTGAAATTTTCAGCATTTGTAGCTCTTATCAAGCTCTAGAAGTTTTGTTATTTACAATATTCCCAGATTTATAGAAAATTGTGTTTGAAGTTTTTGTCAAAATTTGGATTAAAAATCAATCTTAAGGATCAATTGCTCAAAAACTTTCTGGGGTATCAAACTTAATTTTGCACGGATTTATAGAGAATTTAATGCTCTTTACAATGGTATATAATTTATTTCGACCCAAAAATAAGATTTCCTCATTAATTTTGTTTTTGCCTAAAATGGCTATTTGGAAATGATGTCAGGATTGTTTTCCACTAATTTTGACCGGCTCTATCCATTGGTAAAGTCAAAATTGAGCAAAACTGGAAAATAAAAAAATCTATTTTTTCATAAGGCCCAAAATATTCAAACCTCAATTGCTCTGTAACCGTTATGCTAGTGAATCTTGGAGCATGCAAAGTCTGTCAATAGAGCTCCTGGTCTTGGAAAAATCTTCCCAGCTGCCTTACCATAGAACTGGAGAGTCTGCTGAAGCATCATTAAGTTATTGATCTTCATGCCTAGAAACATGACATACACAACACATTTTACACATTATGAATCCATGCTTGAATATACCCATCAGTTAAAAATATGCTCAAAATCAATTATTGTTGTAGCACACTATAAACAAACACACATATTCCTTTTAGAAATGGTACACCGAAATAGTTGATTTGGTGAAGGGCATGTTCGACTATTCGTTATTTTTAGAGCTGCATTTTTTCTTGCTGTCACTGTCGACCATAATCCTTTTTGTTTGGTTTATAGTGCCTTATTTTTACCTTGCCGATTTGATGACGTTGCAACAGTACTCGTCCGATGACGCTTCGTTTACTTTATCGAATATTGGTATAGCTAGTACCATTGGAATGGTAGGTACCAGCCTTTTGTATTATAAATCGCATTTTGTGATAAATTTTTTTAGGTATTCTTAGGATGGGCTGGAGACAGGCCTTGGATGAACATTACCAAGACTTATTCAGTTTGTCTTATTATCAGTGGTTTGTCAATTGGTGGTATGATGTATTTCATTGACAATTATATAATGCTGGAAATATGTGCTGCACTGTTTGGCATATTTGTGTCCAGCTCGTTTTCGTTTACACCTGGAATTCTGGTGGAATTAGTACCATTGGAAAGATTTACTGTGTCTTATGGGCTTCAATTATTGTGTATGGGAATTGGTTTACTTGCTGGACCACCATTTGCTGGTAGGTTTTTCAGTCTCTGTAAATATCCAATCGTAATACCTTTGTTTCCACATTAAAGCATTATTATACGACATTACTGGAAATTGGAAACAATCCTTCTATCAAGCAGCTGTCTGGGTGATCCTTTCTGGTCTGTTTGTGGGTTTGATTCCGTATACGAAAAACAAAAAGATGATTGGCAAAGGGCCTGTAGAAAAAGAAGTGGAAGATTCGGAAAACAGAGTGATACCTATAGTATTGTTAGTTACTTTTAGTGTAATATTAACTATTTTCGTGTTGTATTTGACTGGCGTAAGTCTGGTGCAAACAGAGTCTGATTTGTTGGCCTAATTGCACTCAAACTTAACTATATTCATATGCCTTGTGGTCACTTCACTTCTATTAAAAAGGCTGTATTAATATTTTTTAGGATAATTTATTAACTAAATTAGGAAATAGGTTTTCTTCGGAATGAATTTTACCCGAATTCTTTGTTAAATTAAGTGATTTACTATTTATCAACATATTATTTTCTCAGGTATGTTACATAAACAAAATATTTAGCTTAAATATTAGGCACAACGACAGTATGTTATGTATGTTTATTATGTAGCTAGATTTGATTATTGCAATAAAACATAATTTTCAAAAAGTAAAAATAATGTTTCTTTTGTAATGGGATGTAAATTATCAAGATAACATAAGTAATAATGCAATTAGCAATGATCCCATCCATACCACTAGACACATAAGTTCTAATTCTTACAAGATTGTTATGTTATCTATCCAAACTACAATTAAAACACCAGATTTAAGCGTATATTTCAACATGTTATACCATATTCATATTAGACATGTTATAGAATTATTGAAAGTGTATGGTATTGAAAGATAAATTATTTTTTGTGAATATACAAATCGTCGTTAAGCAAACGAGGAGAAGCTGACCAATAATGCCTGCCATATTTCTTCACGTTACACATAAGCTTCAAAGACAAAAAGTAAATAACTTCGACGATGGACAAAAACGAAAATCCAGTGAACAACCCTAAAATGCCTCCGCAATTGGCGAGAAAATCTACTTGACCATACAACTCGTTCCTTTCGGACGTAATGAACTGTTGCTCCTTAAAAAAAATATTAATCCGAGTCATCATAACGCCTGGAAATTCGCTCATGTTTGCTTTGTAGGCTTGGAAGAGATTCTGCCACATGAAATCGGCTTGAGAAGTTTCGGCATTGTAAACTAATGAAGTGCATCCAGGCAGACAATCACAATCTGAGGAATTTATGGTTTCTCCTGATTCATCACGCTTCAGACCTGTTTGGACTGTTCTACGTAGCAACTCATCTGAAATTTATAATTTGAAGACAATTAATAACTGATGTTTTACTTACTTTGAGCTTCAAACATGCAAACAATACTGCCTGCGCCACAAACTGCAGTACCTTCTTCATCTATTGAAAAATATAAGGTATATAAAAGAAAAAACACATTAATATTATTCTTACGTGGCATATGGTAAGCAACACAGCCACATTTGGTTCTAGTATAATTGGTGAGACATTCAACTTCACAATTTTGTTGCGTGTAGCTTTGGAAAAAGGCTAATTGTCGTTCTATGGGAAAATAGCATTGTCTTCTGTGTGGATCATAGCTTTTTAATCCATCAGAAGTGGTCATCATGTCTGGTTTCACTGCTACTACCACTTCTTGATTTAGAGGAGCGCGGAAATATTGCATGCCTACTCGGGGTGTTTCAGCAGGATTATGGAGAAGAATCTAAATTAAATATTTCAATAATGTTGATTTAAAGTTTTTGTATTAGTTTACTTTGAATCCTTGTACAGGTCCTCTACAAATGAAATCCAAATCTTGTCGATAAGCTCTCATCAATAATAAAAACCCTGATGAAAATCCTGCAGACATGGCTCGTCTAGGATAAGTGTTAATAGGTGCGTCCTTTGGATATCCTTTTTCTAAATTCCAGCCTTCGGATTTTCTTCCGTGGGACATGTAGTCTCCAGGTAAAAATCTATAATTCATAGGTCCAATTAATGGCGAATTACACCAAAATAGCGCAAGTGAACACACATCACGTTGGCACACTTGGAGGCTGTATTAATCCAAGAATATTGGAAAAGGGGCAGATCAAAGGTCTACCAAGTAAAGGGGCAAAATTGATCTGGGACAGTGGGTGTAACGAGCCTAGAACCTGCATTATCCTGAAAGAGAACATTATAACTATATGTCAGGAAGTGTTAGACATAACACTTTGTAGTCCAAATATTGACCAAATGATCAGGAATTGGAGAGTTTCCAATGAACCCTTTCTCTCTGATCACAGAATCATAATGTTTGACGTAAAAGGAGTGCAGGAACGAACTACCTCGTATAGGAAACCCCAGAAATACAAAGTGGGAAAAATACACAACCAAACTGCAATGCAACCTCGAACAAAATCATTTTAGCTGCAAGAATATACGTGAAGTAGAGGAAACCCTTCAGATCCTTAATGGAGCAATCATGGCGGCATACGAATCCAGCTGTTCCATGAAAGAACAAGTTGTAGTGACTACGGAAATTTTAATCAAGAATAACAGGACTTACCAAACAACCATCCCAGGAGGGATCATCACTTAGACAGCACAAACAGAAACTTCAATTAAAAATTATCTGAACATCGATATCCAGAAATTATTGAAAGCCGATACTCTATATTGACTAATACATTGAAATGTGAATAAATCAATAGTTCATGGACCTTTTTTTTAAGTGCTTTCAACAATTAGCATTCCAAAGCAGCCGAAAAATTTCTAATAGGATCAATAAATCATGCACGAGCCTATATGATGATACCTGCTTAACAAACCACTTAGCGACGCCCTTGATAATTAATTAAAAGGGGACCAAATACACTAATTGATCGGGTGATTCAACCACGAAAAATCGAGGTTAGAAACAATAAGGAAATTCAAGACAATGGAGGGACCAATGATATAGAAAGGCAACTTTGGCAGGAGAAAAATCAGTGTTCGAGAAAACCAGTGTTCGAGAAAGAGCGAGTAAACCGGCAGAACTACGGCGTGAAGGACCAGTGTCCAGGAATTGAAGAGTCTCCAATGAACCCTCTCTCTCTCTCTGATCACAGAATCATAATATTTGACGTAAAAGGAGTGCAGGAACGAACTACCTCATATAGATACCCCACAAATACCAACTGGGAAAAATACACAACCAAACTGCAATGCAACCTCGAACAAAATCATTTCAGCTGCCAGAATATACGTGAAGAAACCCTTCAGATCCTTAAAGAAACAATCATGGAGGCATACGAACGCAGCTGTTCCATGAAAGAACAATTGAACAAAATTGGTTGCCTATAGTGGAACAGTCCACCTGAATGTGCGAAACGCTAACCACCAAAACTGTAGAAACTGATGTGAATGGACAAACCATACAGGTCACCACCACTAAAGGATGTCTTCAGGAACGGGTACTCTCATCTTTGATGTGGAGTCTAGTGGTTGGTGACCTCCTAAATGTTCTGACCGATCAGGGGGCTTCACCCTACTTCACCTGCTTTGGATACGCCGATGTATATTAGACTATCCAAGATGCTGTCAAACTTAAATACAAATAACCACCAAGAGGCACACGAACACTTTGATTGCTTGTCAAAGTCACGTGTTTTGGATAGGCTAATTGTGGTTTGTAATCAAGTTCTTTCATTACACCCTTGTATATGGGCAATTCTAGGTCTGTTTCTACAGAAATCAGAAACCAGTCAGAGCGAATTTCATTTGCTGAAAACAGTCAGAAAACTAGTTTCAACCAATGAAATTCACTCTGACTGGTTTGTGATTTCTGCAGAAACAGACCTTCTGTTTCTGTAAAAAATTATACACCTGTTGTCATGTGGGTTTTGTCAATGTCAACAGATAGTTTTTTGGGTGCTTGCTACTTTTGTTCAGGAAAAGTGAATAAAAAGTTAACGAAAAAGTTTAGATCTGTTATTGTTTGATTGTAATCAGGAAGCTGCGTGGAGTTGATTAAATTTGATGATATTGTCATCATGGCCAGAGGCAAATACGAAGGAATACTCTGCGACCTTATAGAAAAGGCACTTCGAACCACGAAGGAATGGTGTGGTGTCAGCCAATGGGGCTAAATCTAAACTCAGCAAAAAGTACACTCGTAACATTTACAAAAAGAACGAAACTCCCAAACCTGACAAACATTCGCCTGGATGGGAGCAGACTTGATTGGAAAAAAGAAGTTAGATTCTTAGGAATAACCCTCTATATTCTAAACTTCTCTGGAACCGATATGTAGAGAACACAAAAATTAAAGCAATTTCGGCACGCATGGTCTGCAAAAGCATTGCAGGTAAAACATGGAGTTGTAACCTGTAATGACCCAGGAAAATAGACCCGTAATTTACAATATCTTTATTGTAAAAATTAAATGTAATCAAATGATCAAAAACTGAATTTCCGGTATTTTAAATCAGTATCGATGTATTGAAAATGAAAAAAATTTATTTAGTCACCAAGAGTGATGTCATCATCTAAATCAAATTCATAAAATTATTAAAAGCGAGGCCAAAGTAATTAAATAGGTGATTTATGGCCGCACGTGTTTTTCGGCTTTCTTTGTGTTTTCCTCACATTTTTAAACAAAATCTGTTGACCCCGATAAACCAGGAAATTGCGACATAATTATTCGATAAACAAATAAAAACCCGAAAAAGATCAATTACAACGTTAAGCACCTAATTAAATTGGACCCAAAATGACAAAAATTTCGAACAGATTGCATCATCCTCTAAAAATGATGAAATTAGTTGGTCGACCAATAGAATTAAATTATAGATAGTCAAACGACCGCCCATTGTCGATTTTGGTTGGTAATTAATAATATTTTGGGGGGAATCGAAAAAGATAAATACAGCGGTTTTAGAAGTGGAGGGCAGTTGAGCGTTTGTAAGTTGAGTCCAGTTTGAGTTAAAGTCTACAGTACCTGATGAGTCAATCCGGATAAAAATTCGCGAAGAATTTCTTTTGTTTTTGCCTCGGGAAAAACACGTTTGATTGGATCTTTGAAAAGTAACGAAAAATTGTTAAAGAAAGAACATTTTAATTCGTTCAACATTATGTGCGAGCTCTAGAGATTTTTGAAGTAAATTAAATTAAGTAATTTTACTTGTGAAAAGTTAAATGTAAGTATTCTAGTGACTAGTAAAACTTTTTGACTTTATAAATGATGAAGTGAATTAACTTTGGAACTTTATTGCATAAATATTAATAACTCGAGTGTTTTAACTATAGAACATTATTGCATAAATTAAATGGCCTTCGAATATAATGACATTTTGATTAATTTTGCAAAGAATAAACAAAGGAAAAGTATTAATGCTCTTAGCAATATTCGATTTTGAGTAGGAATTATTAAAGAATTTTGAATTGGATTGCCCAATTAAAGTTTAAGGGCTATAGTAACGAACTAATAAGAATTTAAATAATTGTGTATGTTGGCTAGGAATTCGAAAATAGTAATTGTTCTGTTTAAATTGATCCTTAGTAAAAGAATAAGCCATTAAATGTAATGGGAAATTTTGACAAGAAACTTGTTGTTCATGGAATGAGATTGTTGACCTTAAGTGCTGAAATTTTGAATCAGGTTTTTCTTCATTTAGAAATTATTGTAAGGTTTTTATGAAAATATAATTGATAATACATATATACTTAATCCAGTGAGTAGGATTATGACTTAAATAATTATTTTGCATAAGCTGTCAGTAAATGACTTAGGAGTTTTAAGAATTTATAGATATAGGTGAAGGGCAGTTTCAATAGGAATGTGAATCGGAAGTGTTGTAATATATAAACTTATAAGTTTTTAAGAATAGAAGAAGTAGGGCGTTATTTTTTTGTATGGATATTTCCTGGTCCGTAGTAATGAAATTTGAACGGATGTGAAATAATTTGAATTGGGAAAAATAGAAGTGGCTGTCAGAATAGAAAGATATTTGCTTATTTAAATTTTTGGTTTTAAGTATAATAATAAAATATAATTTAGTAAACCTCAATAGTTTGTTTCTCTTTTTTGCGAATAGACCCCCTCCACAATTTTATAGGTAGCTGCTCGAAATAAATACCATCAATATACCGCTCGCCATTTACCATCTAACTAATGGGACGTTTTGCTACAAACCCATCAATCCTAAGATGGATGTATACCATGATAATGAGACCTATCATCACCTATGGGGCGGTAGCCTGGTATAGCCGAACCCAGCTAGTAACAGGAACCCTAGGAAAAGTACAAAGACTCTCATGTCTCTGTATAACAGGAGCAATGAGATCATGCCCAACCGCGGTACTAGGAGTCATTCTAGACCTGACACCACTCCACATAATAGTGAAGTGGGTTGCCAGTGGATCATGTTTCACACTGAAGATTATCTACAAAGGGAAACGCACCTTGGCAGAACTTTTCCCCTCCCAAACTTTGCACACCTCATGAAATCTACCAAATATATTGATAAATTCAGTTTCGAGAAAAACTTTTCCATCGAACTAAGTACAAAAAACAGATGGAATATATCCAATCCTTTAAAGCAAACACCATTAAATGGTACATAGATAGTTCCAAAACTGCTGAGGGAACTGAAGCCGGAGTATTCGAACCACGGACCATAGATACTCTGAGCCAATGGAGAAATCACCAAGCATATTTCGAGCGGAACTTCATGCGAACGGAAGATGCGTGCAATTCAACCTGAACAGAAGTTATCGGAAGAGAGAGATTGTAATAAGTCTGACAGCCAAACAGCTATCAAAGCATTGGAATCCCCGGTCATCAATTGTAAGACAGTATGGAAATGTCTACACAAACTAAATGAGCTGGGAAACCTTAGCAAGGTTGACGGGATATTGTAGACTTCAGAAACACCTACACAAGTTGGGGTTAGAAGAAGGTGGCACCTACAAATTCTGTGAAGATGGAGAAAAGACACCTCACCATCTTCTACTGAACTGCGATGCCGTTAGTCGTTTAAGGATGAAGAACTTGGAAAGTGCCCTTATACAGGTGGAAGACATTTCAGTCCTGGAACCGCTAGATATCCTAAAATTCTTGAAGGACCTAGGACTGGAAGGGCTACAATAAATCAACCTTGGTCGCGGATCAACTGACAATTCCAACACACACATACACAAGTCCAATTGATTGTTTTATATACCTACACGTTATTTTTCAATAATTCAGTTCTGTCAAGCATGTTGAAGGTGTAGCAAAGCCCTTCTTCAGTTAAAATAGGTGTGAAGAAGTCATGACAGGAACCGTTCAGAAGGGTATATTTACATGTCCAAAGCATTTCATCGAATTGTGGAGCTATCTGCAATAATAATATTTGTTATACAATGTTTATATAAGGTACTCATTAGTTGCTTACGCCCATCAAAAAATCAATAGTGTCATAGTTTGTAGTCACGTTGCCTTCGTGGAAAACATGATTTTCGCAAACTAAGGCCAAATCAGCAAACTTCTTTTTGCTACAAAATAATCGAGTTAAATATTTGAATTGTTTCAAAGTCTAAAATTCTTACTCTGATTCGGTCATGCTGTTATTTTCGGAAACCATTTTGTGATAATAGTCTGTAAAGTTGTAAACTGTCTGTCTTGATTTTGTTTCAGAACAAACTGTTACAGCTGAAAAATGTTATCTTGATTAAGGAATTTGATTTTTTGTTGGAAATCTTACCTGGAAAAGGCACTTGCCATACAGGAGTTGGGCTCCGAGCAAAACTCACCAGTACAGGTGAAGTATCCCATTTGATCCAAGTTTGTATTATAAGGTTTATACAAATGTATAAGGAGATGCAGAAAAGTATTAACCACCATAACCTAATGAACAAATTAATATATTGTTGAATGTCTTTATTTTCAAATACCTTTCAATAATAGTCATTTCCTGGTCACCCATATACTTGAAGCCGTGAATACCAGTGTTGTTGGAGTATTCCGCAAAATAATCATAAAAGTTTCTTCTGAAACCTGGATACGGCCTGCCAGGTTTTCTTGGATATCCATCGTCTTTATTTTTCTTCTTTTCTAATTTCGGATTGCCTGTTTCCAAGTCTTTCATCGAAACAGCGTTTGCGTCTTCTATTTTTTTCTCAGGAGAACGTTTCATTTTTAAAAATTTGCAAAATTAATATGAACACGCGACAATTTGTCGCTTGTTTACGTGAAAAGTAATGAACCATCAAAAAAACATCCTCGCACTTTTTATATGGGATCTTTTTCGATTTGGGAAAAACTTTATCCGCACCATCGAGAACTTGATAGATTTAAAATGAGTCAAATTGTTGATGTTCTCTTACCATAATAATCTGTATGTCCACATTTACTTACCAAAGCAGCTCATTCAATTTATCAGCTAGAACGGCCTTAATTAAAAAAATTATCATTATTTTGGTGCATTCTAATTCTATCCCCAATTCCCTGTTATAATTACGGGCAATATCTTTTTTTAAACATGCATGTTCACAATTTTATTTATTAACGGTTAGCAGAATATATCACACACCCTATAACCCCGGGAGATTATCAAACGTTCTTTTAATTTCTATACATAATTTTTTTATTAATTTCTACAAAATAATGCGTGAGCTTTTCCATATACCGCTCCCTAATAATAATTAACACAATTTCATCATTGACATTGTCTAGGACACATTCTGGAACGAGGACTTTTCGGTCGTCTTTCCTGCACAGTCGTTGTGGTTTCTCGAATGGTTTTCTCTTGTAAATTGCTGGCTGTAGCCAAATCGGCCAAATCGTCACTTTGTAAAGCCCCACCAAACACACTAGAATTTTTGAAGGGCTCCCGGTCCCTTTTTCTGGATCGCTTCCTTTCGTCCGCCCTACTGCTTTCAGCAACATGTAGTTGATGGGCAGCTTCTTGTTCCATTGCAGCAGCGGTACGAGCAGACCAGTTGGATTTTTCGTGACGAATTTTGGAAGCTGAAAACGTGAGAAATTATCACTGGAAATAAAATTGAATTGATTACATTGTCTTATTTCTTCTGGGTGTACTTTGGACATTCTTGTAGCCTCATCTTCTTCTAATCGTATAAAAGCTTCGGTTCTTACTATGTTCTTTCCAAGCAAATGTTCAAGTTCCTTCAGTCTAAAAAAAAATAACAATAAATAACATAATACCTAATCAACCAATCTCGAGACAAAAACGTTTTTTTATATATACGAAAATCCAAATGCCCATTTTAAGCAGACACAAAAATAAAAAGAAAATCCTATTTTTGGCTCTGGAAAATTTTCAAAATCTTGACATGGTCATGAATAATTGCCCATATCTTTGGTAAATTTCAAGCAAATTAAAATAAATTATATATCATTGGAAAAAGCACTAAATTCTCTATAAATCTGTGCAAAATTGAGTTAGATAGCTTGGATAGTTTTTGAGCAATTGAGCCTCAAAATTTACTTTTAGTCCAAATTTTGTCAAAAACTTCAAACTCAATTTGCTCAAAAACTAGAAATCTGGAAATATTATAAATTACAGGCCATTCACAACTTGATAAAAGCTACAAATTCTGGAAATTTTAATGCAATTTGCTCATGGGTTACCGAGTAATTGAGGTTCGAATATTTTGAAATCAGAATTCAAAGGGGGTAGGTAGGTACCCTTATGAAAAATTCGATTTTTTTTATTTTTTAGTTTTGCTCAATTTTGACTTTATGAATCGATAGAGCGATTCAAAATTAGTGGAAATCAACCCTGATATCAATTCCAAATGGCCATTTCAAGCAGACACAAAAATAAAAAGAAAATCCTATTTTTGGCTCTGGAAAATTTTCAAAATCCTGACATGGTCATGAACAATTGCCCATATCTTTGGTAAATTTTGAGCAAATTAGAATAAATTATACATCATTGGAAAGAGCCTTAAATTCTCTATAAATTTGTGCAAAATTGAGCTGGATAGCTTGGATAGTTTTTGAGCAATTGAGCCTCAAAGTCGACATTTAGTCCAAATTTTGTCAAAAACTTCAAACTCAATTTGCTCAAAAACTAGAAATCTGGAAATATTGTAAATTGCAGGCCATTTAGAACTTGATAAAAGCTACAAATTCTGGAAATTTTAATGCAATTTGCTCAACGGTTAACGAGCAATTGAGGTTTGAATATTTTGAAATCAGAATTCAAAGAGGTTAACCTCATGAAAAATTCGATTTTTTTATTTTTTAGTTTTGCTCAATTTTGACTTTATGAATCGATAGAGCGGGTCAAAATTAGTGGAAAACAAGCCGGATATCAATTCCAAATGGCCATTTCAAGCAGACACAAAAATAAAAAGAAAATCCTTTTTTTGGCTCTGGAAAATTTTCAAAATCCTGACATGGTCATGAACAATTGCCCATATCTTTGGTAAATTTTGAGCAAATTGAAATAAATTATACATCATTGGGAAGGACCTTAAATTATCTATAAATTTGTGCGAAATTGAGTTCGATACCTCGGATAGTTTTTGAGAATTTGAGCCTCAAAGTTGACTTTTAGTGTATTACCTTGGGATTTTGAATTAGCATAGTAAAACCTTCATTCTGTGCAAGTTTCAGCTTGTAACCCCGATGCGCCCACAAAACTCATTTTAAGAGGGCTTTAACTGCGTTGGGCACTCTACTATACTCCCCAACCACGATCATAGATACCAACGAATACAAACTGTATTGGGACATAGAAATACGCACTGATAAAACAATAACATGCAATATACCAGACATTGTTTTCCAAAAGAAAAAACCTATCTTATACCAAATGACAAATGACCCCAATATTCAGACCAAATATAACGAGCAGATAGGAAAATATACGGAACTAGCCATAGAAGATCAGCAGAGACTCTGGAAACAGAAAAAAGTTATAATCATTCATCATCTCAACCACAGGCATCACCTCATACATCTTTAATGCACATCTCGAGCAACTCGGTCTCAACCCTAGCATTCACATAAACATGCAAAAGTCTGTTATCCTTAAAACCTGCAATAGATATAGTACGCTCTTTTCTCAATTCGGGCAATAGATTCTGAGAAGACTGCTTGGCCATCTCAGAAACATCACTTTGTGCAAAGTGAGAAAAAGAGAGAAAATACATAAAAATAATAATTAGGACTTACTGTTTTTCCTTTTGTTGTTCTTCATTCTCCAATTCCTGCAACCTGTCTTCCATAATGTGGCTCTTCATGTTCGATTGAGTTTGTTCTCTAGCGTGTTGAATTTTAAGTTCTTCAAGTCTCATCTCTAGCCTTTTATTTTCCTCGGCCAAACGTCCTTCTTCGATCTTCAACCATTGGAGCCTATGGAATGCCTCTTGTCGCCTTTGCAACTCCATATCTTCGGCATCTCTTACAGTTAATTTTGGAAGAGGGTAAACATATTTTAAAAATACATCCTTTTCTTTTTCATATTTTTCGAAATCAAAGTCTGGAATCATTTGGAATATTTCGCCTACCATCCACAGCATTTTGCTGTTGAACATATCGTGACGTTCTTTGTAGAAGTTTACGGTTTGTATTTGCTCGTTTACCAAAACATCGCTGACGTCTTGAGTCATATTCTCGTAAACTTTAGTCACCATTTTACGAAATTGTGCCAAATCTTCTTCCATGACTTGTCTCATTATTTCTCCATTATCGGAGGTATATTTGGCTATTAAACTCACAAATTCGTGGATCAATATTGGCGATTTGCTATCTTTCAAGTGCTTCAATATTTTGGCCATTTGTTTTTTGTCTTCGCCCGCTGGACCTCCTTGTCTTACCACTTTTTTTCTTATTTCGTCAAAATTGATTTCCTTTTTCGCACCCACAATACTCAAAGGGGGCAGTTGGAATCCTAAACCTTTCTTTTTCTTTTCTTCTGGTTTAGCAGCTTGTTCAGTTGGCTTTGGTGGTGGTTGTTGGGATACAGCTTCAAACCCGGATTGTCCAGGTGGTTGATATCCAAATCCAGGTTGTCTCATTGCTTGACTAGGTTGGGACTGTGGTCGATAACCAAACCCAGGCTGTCTTGGTTGGGATTGTGCTTGATAACCATATCCAGGTTGTCTTGATGGACCACTTTGGCCATACGGAGATTGAGCTTGTTGATAACCAAACCGAGATGTATTTTCTTGGCGGGATTGAGGTCGACTCCGTGCACCAGTGGCTGATTGTTGAGAGTTGCAGGAATCTGGACACTGCATTTTGTCTTTTTTATAGCTATAACTGACTTATAAGCAAGGGCAAATTCTTCTTAGGGCGCAACAGACGGCGGACACGAGTAAAGCAGTACCTATACAAGCGATAAGGGTAACGTTCATTGTTTACAGAACAGGACGGATAGAGAGCAAATAATGTTCATCCACGTGGCTATAATTAGGATGTTGAGCAAACAACCTAACATTTCAAACGAAAAATTTTGACAAAATGATTACGATTGAAGGCATATATTGTTGACAGCTTGGAATCTGGAGACAAATAAATTTTCATGGTACTGGTATTGTTGAGGAAGGTGGTCCTATACCTGTTTAATCGCTGAGATCTCCATGTTAATCAATAAAAGTAGAGCAAAGAAAGTGTTAAGGGAATGCTACACTTTAAAAAATTCCGATGATGATGCAATTACCTAAGTCAGAGCTTATGAATGATGAGCAAGAAATTGAAGATGAAATCATGTGATAAAGCAGGTTTAAACACAAAACACAGTTGTGAAAATGGCAATTATGAAGGCTGATTTGTTGAATTATTTTTGGGAAGTTCTTTTAAAAATAATATTGTTATGTCTTCAGCATATGGTAATGGTAGAGTTTGAAGTGTTGTCATTTTCTATATAGTCAGTTTGTCATAATTGTTGAAAATATAGAGTTGACTTGAAAAGTAAAGCATTAATAGGTATGTACATACTTATCAAATATGGTCTTTACAAACTAAATTACACATTTCTAGAATTGCTTGAGTCACTCCAGTTTCCACCAGTTCAGGAATGAGATAGAAACCTCCTGGAAACCTCCTATGAAATCTCGCTGTTTCAAGGTATTGTCCAACCTACGCTGGAATTTTTCAGTTCAGACTTATTAATAAAGAAATATATAATGAAATTTTTAAAAAAGGATGAAAAAATCTTGCATAAAACATGTTAGCAAAAACAATTCCCTCAAACACAAAACTTCTTGAAGTTGAAATTACCAGTTCTTTATTTTGTATCTCAAATAAATGGAAAACAAGACTACAATCGCACTGCCGGATAATACTATTTTGGGTCGTCTGTACCATTTTTTCATTGACACACTGGCAGAATTTTCCACGCTTATCCTGATATCGTTTTTCGTTGCCGCCATAGTTTTCGCTGAATCTGAAAGTCGATCCAGGATCAGATTCAAGGATCTGACTTGTTCTTTTAAAAATACATTTTCTCTTTCCAAATTGGCTACGAGGTGATTTTTTTCCGTGATTAGTAGTTGCAGTTGGTTCAGTTGAACGCTACTATTAAGATCTGGAATAATTTTGTTTATAAATTATTATTAATAAAATAGCTGCTCACCATTAAAATTGATATATGTGAGGTTATCTTGGTTATTTAAAGTTATCTTGGAATTTACCAGGAAATGTTTGTCGCAACATTGCATGATTTCAATAGAATTGTCTTTTTCATCTTTGCCACTAACTTCTTCTATTTCAATTAGGCTCATTTTCATTTGGAAATAAATAAAATGCACTCGATTTTTGACCTTACGTAACTTCAACTGTCAAGGTTGATTGTTAAATGAGATCATCAAACTTGATAATTATAGAAAAACTTTTTCATTTGCCTGTTTCTGCATGTCAAGATTATAGGATATTTATTTATATTGTCTATTTATCAATACAAATAATAATATAGATAATTCTTTTATTGGCTTGACCTGATTTGTGACTTATGGTCGATAACCAAATCCAGGCTGTCTTGCTTGGCTATATTGAGATTGTGCTTAGTAACCATATCCAGGTAGTATTGCCACTCTGCACTCACCTCAGTTTTTGAGTGAAAAAATTGTTTGTAGAGTCTTACTTTACAAAACATAATTTTCAAAAAATCGTAACTCCATTAATAATAACTCGATCGCTTTGAGTTTTTGGTATTTTTTTTATTGAATCATTAGGAAAAAGTCCTCAAAATTTCAACTCTGCACTCACTTCAGTTTTTGAGTGAAAAAATTGTTTGTAGAGCCTTACTTTACAAAACATCATTATTTTAGAAAAGTCATACTTAACTCCATTAATAATAACTCAATCGCTTTGAGTTTTTAGTATTTTTCACATTAAATTATTAGGAAAAAGTCCTCAAAATTTCAACTCTGCACTCATTTCAGTTTTTGAGTGAAAAAATTGTTTGTAGAGTCTTACTTTACAAAACATCATTTTCAAAAAATCGTAACTCCATTAATAATAACTCGATCGCTTTGAGTTTTTAGTATTTTTTACATTGAATCATTAGGAAAAAGTCCTCAAAATTTCAACTCTGCACTCACTTCAGTTTTTGCGTGAAAAAATTGTTTGTAGAGTATTACTTTACAAAACATCATTATTTTCAAAAAATCGTAGCTCCATTAATATTAACTCAATCGCTTTGAGTTTTTAGTATTTTTCACATTGAATCATTAGGAAAAAGTCCCCAAAATTTCAACTTTCCACTCACTCTAGTTTTTGAGTGAAAAAATTGTTTGTGAAGTCTTACTTTACAAAACATCATTATATTCAAAAAAGCGTAACTCCATTAATAATAACTCAATCGCTTTGAGTTTTTAGTATTTTTCACATTGAATCATTAGGAAAAAGTCCTCAAAATTTCAACTCTGCACTCACTTCAGTTTTTGAGTAAAAAAATTGTTTGTAGAGTATTTACTTTACAAAATATCATTATTTTCAAAAAATCGTAGCTCCATTAATATTAACTCAATCGCTTTGAGTTTTTAGTATTTTTCACATTAAATCATTAGGAAAAAGTCCTCAAAATTTCAACTTTGCACTCACTCTAGTTTTTGAGTGAAAAAATTGTTTGTGAAGTCTTACTTTACAAAACATCATTATATTCAAAAAAGCGTAACTCCATTAATAATAACTCAATCGCTTTGAGTTTTTAGTATTTTTCACATTGAATCATTAGGCAAAAGTCCTCAAAATTTCAACTCTGCACTCAATTCAGTTTTTGAGTGAAAAAATTGTTTGTAGAGTATTACTTTACAAAACATAATTATTTTCAAAAAACCGTAGCTCCATCAATATTAACTCAATCGCTTTGAGTTTTTAGTATTTTTCACATTGAATCATTAGGAAAAAGTCCTCAAAATTTCAACTTTCCACTCACTTTAGTGTTTGAGTGAAAAAATTGTTTGTAAAGTCTTACTTTACAAAACATCATTATTTTCAAAAAATCGTAACTCCATTAATAATAACTCAATCGCTTTAAGTTTTTAGTATTTTTCACATTGAATCATTAGGAAAAAGTCCTCAAAATTTCAACTCTGCACTCACTTCAGTTTTTGAGTGAAAACATTGTTTGTGAAGTCTTACTTTACAAAACATCATTATTTTCAAAAAAGCGTAACTCCATTAATAATAACTCAATCGCTTTGAGCTTTTAGTATTTTTTACATTGAATCATTAGGAAAAAGTCCCCAAAATTTCAACTTTCCACTCACTCTAGTTTTTGAGTGAAAAAATTGTTTGTAGACTATTACTTTACAAGACATCATTATTTTCAAAAAATCGTAACTCCATTAATAATAACTCAATCGCTTTGAGTTTTTAGTATTTTTTACATTGAATCATTAGGAAAAAGTCCCCAAAATTTCAACTTTCCACTCACTCTAGTTTTTGAGTGAAAACATTGTTTGTGAAGTCTTACTTTACAAAACATCATTATTTTCAAAAAAGCGTAACTCCATTAATAATAACTCAATCGCTTTGAGCTTTTAGTATTTTTTACATTGAATCATTAGGAAAAAGTCCCCAAAATTTCAACTTTCCACTCACTCTAGTTTTTGAGTGAAAAAATTGTTTGTGAAGTCTTACTTTACGAAACATCATTATTTTCAAAAAATCGTAACTCCATTAATAATAACTCAATGGCTTTGAGTTTTTAGTATTTTTTACATTGAATCATTATGAAAAAGTCCCCAAAATTTCAATTTTCCACTCACTCTAGTTTTTGAGTGAAAAAATTGTTTGTAAAGTCTTACTTTACAAAACATCATTATTTTCAAAAAATTCGTAACTCCATTAATAATAACTCAATCGCTTTGAGTTTTTAGTATTTTTTACATTGAATCATTAGGAAAAAGTCCTCAAAATTTCAACTCTGCACTCACTTCAGTTTTTGAGTGAAAAAATTGTTTGTAGAGTATTACTTTACAAGACATCATTATTTTCAAAAAATCGTAACTCCATTAATAATAACTCAATGGCATTGAGTTTTTAGTATTTTTCACATTGAATCATTAGGAAAAAGTCCCCAAAATTTCAACTTTCCACTCACTCTAGTTTTTGAGTGAAAAAATGGTTTGTAAAGTCTTACTTTACAAAACATCATTATTTTCAAAAAATCGTAACTCCATTAATAATAACTCAATCGCTTTGAGTTTTTAGTATTTTTCACATTGAATCATTAGGAAAAAGTCCTCAAAATTTCAACTCTGCACTCATTTCAGTTTTTGAGTGAAAAAATTGTTTGTAGAGTCTTACTTTACAAAACATCATTTTCAAAAAATCGTAACTCCATTAATAATAACTCAATCGCTTTAAGTTTTTAGTATTTTTCACATTGAATCATTAGGAAAAAGTCCTCAAAATTTCAACTCTGCACTCACTTCAGTTTTTGAGTGAAAAAATTGTTTGTAGAGTCTTACTTTACAAAACATCATTTTCAAAAAATCGTAACTCCATTAATAATAACTCAATCGCTTTGAGTTTTTAGTATTTTTTACATTGAATCATTAGGAAAAAGTCCCCAAAATTTCAACTTTCCACTCACTCTAGTTTTTGAGTGAAAAAATTGTTTGTTAAGTCTCACTTTACAAAACATCATTATTTTCAAAAAATCGTAACTCCATTAATAATAACTGAATCGCTTTGGGTTTTTAGTATTTTTTACATTGAATCATTAGGAAAAAGTCCCCAAAATTTCAACTTTCCACTCACTCTAGTTTTTGAGTGAAAAAATTGTTTGTGAAGTCTTACTTTACAAAACATCATTATTTTCAAAAAATCGTAACTCCATTAATAATAACTCAATGGCTTTGAGTTTTTAGTATTTTTTACATTGAATCATTAGGAAAAAGTACTCAAAATTTCAACTATGCACTCACTTCAGTTTTTGAGTGAAAAAATTGTTTGTAGAGTATTACTTTACAAGACATCATTATTTTCAAAAAATCGTAACTCCATTAATAATAACTCAATGGCATTGAGTTTTTAGTATTTTTCACATTGAATCATTAGGAAAAAGTCCCCAAAATTTCAACTTTCCACTCACTCTAGTTTTTGAGTGAAAAAATTGTTTGTAAAGTCTTACTTTACAAAACATCATTATTTTCAAAAAATCGTAACTCCATTAATAATAACTCAATCGCTTTGAGTTTTTAGTATTTTTCACATTGAATCATTAGGAAAAAGTCCTCAAAATTTCAACTTTCCACTCACTCTAGTTTTTGAGTGAAAAAATTGTTTGTTAAGTCTCACTTTACAAAACATCATTATTTTCAAAAAATCGTTACTCCATTAATAATAACTCAATCGCTTTGAGTTTTTAGTATTTTTTACATTGAATCATTAGGAAAAAGTCCTCAAAATTTCAACTCTGCACTCACTTCAGTTTTTGAGTGAAAAAATTGTTTGTAGAGTATTACTTTACAAGACATCATTATTTTCAAAAAATCGTAACTCCATTAATAATAACTCAATCGCTTCGAGTTTTTAGTATTTTTTACATTGAATCATTAGGAAAAAGTCCTCAAAATTTCAACTCTGCACTCACTTCACTTTTTGCGTGAAAAAATTGTTTGTAGAGAGTATTACTTTACAAAACATAATTATTTTCAAAAAATCGTAACTCCATTAATAATAACTCAATCACTTTGAGTTTTTAGTATTTTTCACATTGAATCATTAGGAAAAAGTTCTCAAAATTTCAACTCTGCACTCACTTCAGTTTTTGAGTGAAAAAATTGTTTGTAGAGCCTTACTTTACAAAACATCATTATTTTAGAAAAGTCATACTTAACTCCATTAATAATAACTCAATCGCTTTGAGTTTTTAGTATTTTTCACATTAAATTATTAGGAAAAAGTCCTCAAAATTTCAACTCTGCACTCATTTCAGTTTTTGAGTGAAAAAATTGTTTGTAGAGTCTTACTTTACAAAACATCATTTTCAAAAAATCGTAACTCCATTAATAATAACTCGATCGCTTTGAGTTTTTAGTATTTTTTACATTGAATCATTAGGAAAAAGTCCTCAAAATTTCAACTCTGCACTCACTTCAGTTTTTGAGTGAAAAAATTGTTTGTAGAGCCTTACTTTACAAAACATCATTATTTTAGAAAAGTCATACTTAACTCCATTAATAATAACTCAATCGCTTTGAGTTTTTAGTATTTTTCACATTAAATTATTAGGAAAAAGTCCTCAAAATTTCAACTCTGCACTCATTTCAGTTTTTGAGTGAAAAAATTGTTTGTAGAGTCTTACTTTACAAAACATCATTTTCAAAAAATCGTAACTCCATTAATAATAACTCGATCGCTTTGAGTTTTTAGTATTTTTTACATTGAATCATTAGGAAAAAGTCCTCAAAATTTCAACTTTCCACTCACTCTAGTTTTTGAGTGAAAAAATTGTTTGTAAAGTCTTACTTTACAAAACATCATTATTTTCAAAAAATCGTTACTCCATTAATAATAACTCAATCGCTTTGAGTTTTTAGTATTTTTTACATTGAATCATTGGAAAAAGTCCTCAAAATTTCAACTATGCACTCACTTCAGTTTTTGAGTGAAAAAATTGTTTGTAGAGTATTACTTTACAAGACATCATTATTTTCAAAAAATCGTAACTCCATTAATAATAACTCAATCGCTTTGAGTTTTTAGTATTTTTCACATTGAATCATTAGGAAAAAGTCCTCAAAATTTCAACTTTCCACTCACTCTAGTTTTTGAGTGAAAAAATTGTTTGTTAAGTCTCACTTTACAAAACATCATTATTTTCAAAAAATCGTTACTCCATTAATAATAACTCAATCGCTTTGAGTTTTTAGTATTTTTTACATTGAATCATTAGGAAAAAGTCCCCAAAATTTCAACTCTGCACTCACTTCAGTTTTTGAGTGAAAAAATTGTTTGTAGAGTATTACTTTACAAGACATCATTATTTTCAAAAAATCGTAACTCCATTAATAATAACTCAATCGCTTCGAGTTTTTAGTATTTTTTACATTGAATCATTAGGAAAAAGTCCTCAAAATTTCAACTCTGCACTCACTTCACTTTTTGCGTGAAAAAATTGTTTGTAGAGAGTATTACTTTACAAAACATAATTATTTTCAAAAAATCGTAACTCCATTAATAATAACTCAATCACTTTGAGTTTTTAGTATTTTTCACATTGAATCATTAGGAAAAAGTTCTCAAAATTTCAACTCTGCACTCACTTCAGTTTTTGAGTGAAAAAATTGTTTGTAGAGCCTTACTTTACAAAACATCATTATTTTAGAAAAGTCATACTTAACTCCATTAATAATAACTCAATCGCTTTGAGTTTTTAGTATTTTTCACATTAAATTATTAGGAAAAAGTCCTCAAAATTTCAACTCTGCACTCATTTCAGTTTTTGAGTGAAAAAATTGTTTGTAGAGTCTTACTTTACAAAACATCATTTTCAAAAAATCGTAACTCCATTAATAATAACTCGATCGCTTTGAGTTTTTAGTATTTTTTACATTGAATCATTAGGAAAAAGTCCTCAAAATTTCAACTCTGCACTCACTTCAGTTTTTGAGTGAAAAAATTGTTTGTAGAGCCTTACTTTACAAAACATCATTATTTTAGAAAAGTCATACTTAACTCCATTAATAATAACTCAATCGCTTTGAGTTTTTAGTATTTTTCACATTAAATTATTAGGAAAAAGTCCTCAAAATTTCAACTCTGCACTCATTTCAGTTTTTGAGTGAAAAAATTGTTTGTAGAGTCTTACTTTACAAAACATCATTTTCAAAAAATCGTAACTCCATTAATAATAACTCGATCGCTTTGAGTTTTTAGTATTTTTTACATTGAATCATTAGGAAAAAGTCCTCAAAATTTCAACTCTGCACTCACTTCAGTTTTTGCGTGAAAAAATTGTTTGTAGAGTATTACTTTACAAGACATCATTATTTTCAAAAAATCGTAACTCCATTAATAATAACTCAATCGCTTTGAGTTTTTAGTCTTTTTTACATTGAATCAATAGGAAAAAGTCCCCATAATTTCAACTTTCCACTCACTCTAGTTTTTGAGTGAAAAAATTGTTTGTAAAGTCTTACTTTACAAAACATCATTATTTTCAAAAAATCGTTACTCCATTAATAATAACTCAATCGCTTTGAGTTTTTAGTATTTTTTACATTGAATCATTAGGAAAAAGTCCTCAAAATTTCAACTATGCACTCACTTCAGTTTTTGAGTGAAAAAATTGTTTGTAGAGTATTACTTTACAAAACATCGGGCATATTGGGATTGAGCTTGATAACCATTAACTTACTTATCTGAAATCTAGGAGGACTGCCCAAAAATATAACTAGGAAGCACAAACGTTGTGCCTCTAGCTTCAATAAGATTCTTCAAAGTTCGCTAAACTTCCTTTCAATTCAAAACATCTATTATTATAACAATAATGATTCAGTCTATTATTCTGTAACTATACTACTGGAGGCGCAATATTCCTGGCACTTCCTACTGTCCACTCCAATAAATAAATTTTAAATAAGGCCCCAAAGCAATACATAAGACGTATACAATATCTTTTCCTATTGCTTTATGGGTTGGGAGCCGAAAGGAATAATCATGAATTTTAAATAACAGAAAATGAGCAGTTGAACGGAAATAAGCGCAAATTACTGGTCTTACGATAATACAAGAGGGATAGGCGATGTTAAGTATATTCTTTTGTGTATAGTTGAGGTACCCACATACAATTCCAAAAGAAAATTAGCGAACAAGAAATCTGTATAATGTGTTTGATATGGCTACGTTTTGATTTATAAAAACAATTTTACATAATGATGATGCTTTAACACTCAAAAAACAGCAGAAATTTGCTCAAAAAAGTCCTCCATGAATAAAATAAAACAAATAAATTCACAAAATCTTTATTCCAACATTGTTAAGCCTTTGCAACACTGTAACATATCGTTCATTAAACTGATTTTTATACTTAGAAATAACGTTATCAACAAGAGTAGAACTAAACTGATACTTGACGCATTCAGGAAGTATCACATAATCGCAAGATACCTTATAATGATTTAATTGCACATCTTGAAAAGGCAGAAAATAATCTTTGATTACACCAGGCCTAATTAAATGTAAACCATAATGGTTGAATACTGTTAAGGTGTTTTTTGTCGAAATAAAACTTTTGCTGTTTTCCCCTTTAGCGCTGGTCACTTTTGCACGTCGTTTTTCATTTAAGAAGAACGGCTCGTCGTAACGGGTTCTCGAGAAAAAGTAAACGTTTTGTACTATCAGAGAGGCGTAATTATCATTGAGGTCTTGCACGAGATCGTTCCAGTTAGTAACTGTTTTTGGTACTATAATTTCGTCCACATCTAATGGTATGACAAACTTGGAGTTTAAATTCCTATTGAAACATTTGTTGTAAGTTACAACTTCGTATTTGCGTCTTTGCCAAGTGGATTTGAAAAAGTTTCTTGTACAATTTTGGCACTCCAGTGGGGTGAAGTCTTCTATGTGGAAATTATGTGGATATTGATGCTTGTACCTAAAATAAATAAATAAAAATTCCATCATATCCGAATTAGCGATTTCACGCCGTTAAAAATACCAGAGACTTTTAATGAGAATTTTAACGAGCCTCCATAAACGTAAATCGTAGTCTGCCTGTCTCCCTAAAGGTACCAGCTAATTTAATTTTTTTTTAGGCGATACTGGACTCGGAATTTTTATTATCCGGCCATGAAATTAATTTGTCGCCTTTTAATGAACTAATTCTTACCATTCTAGAACTTTCCTGGTATTCTTGGTAACATTCTTCAGAAATATATGAAAATACTGAGCACCGATTATCTTGGATATTTCAATCCATTGCACCAAGTGATTGGACATGTCCTTTTTGAAATTTAATGGCTTTACGCAAATTGTGAAGTTTCTTTGCAGGTTTTCTAGTGTTGATGGCATTATTTTGTGGTAAATGTTTGATAATCTACACGGGTTGGTTGATAATGATAGAGCTAGAGGATCTTGATTCTCAAAATTTGGTAATCTAAAACAAATAATTGAAACTAAATTTAATTAAGTGAACATTTTACTACCTACTTTATTCTGTATTTTGAGCGTATATTAGGACTCAGAATATTTGTAATTTTATATTATTATGATGATCTTAATGTACTTGAACTCAAAAATCTGAAGAGTCGAAAGATCTTAAAGATATGAAGTTATCTTAAGATTCATGACTTAAAAAACTAAGGGTATTTAGAGACACAACAGGAAACTTTGATGAATCTGAACATTTTTTTTTTCAATGATTGTAGAATGAAGATTCTGCTGAGGAGGTGGTCACTAGCGATTTTTTACGACAGAAAATCTCCATTTGTGGAGATCTGCTTCTTGGAACTCATAGATTTCCATGAATATCCTTGGATTTTCAGAGGTAATCTGGGATCTGATGGCATGTCTTATCCTTGGATCTCCATAGAGATCATTTGGATTTCCATGGATCTCCGTGTATCTCATCCGGACCCTCATATACATTGACGGTACTAGTTGAAATGATTGCGCACGCAATTTCGCTTTTCCGATTCTACACAACTGCATCCGAAGTTCTTGGATCTCCACATATTTCCATGTATCCAGAGATATTCATGAATTTCCACAGATCCTCCATGGATTTCCATAACATATACGATTACCATCCCGTAGGACAGAAGATTTTCAAAGTAACTACTCCCTTCTGCTAAACGAAAAATATGAAGACTTAAGACTTTATAATAATGAGTCTTCAGAGTCCTACAAAAATCTTTAGTGTTGCGTCTTTAGAATGAAATGTTTCATCTTGGAAGACACTTTTCTGAGTCTATCAAGATTCTTGAAATCTTGGGAGTTTCATGTCAAGAGCCTTAAAATCCTCGATATCAAGATCAAGCCTTGAGATTTTTAAGCCTACAAGATCTTTGGAATTATCAGAGAAATCAAATAACTTTAATGAAAAGGAAGTCTATTGATTCCTGATCGGCTTCAGAATCTCCATAGGCTCAACACTCTTCTGTGTTTCAAATTCTTAAAAGTAGAGAGTAGGTATATTAAGTCATGAGACTTGACAGAAGCTTCTGGAACCTTCAAAGGTTTGAATTCAGAAGTCAGTCTTGGATTCATTGTGTCTCCAAAATCTTAATTCTCTCGAAATCCTTATGATTATAGCTGAGTCTGTATTAAAAAATCTGATAATAATCAAAATTTGGACTATACCGCGGCTCTTGAATTGCTGAAAATTTTCTCTGAAGCCATTCAAGGGTCGGTAATATTCAAAATATGGATTATACCGCGGCTCTTGATTTGCTGGAAATTTTCTCTGAAGCCAGTAATATTCAAAATAATATGATATTTTGTTGGCTCTTGATTTACTAGAAATGTTCTCTGAATCTATTCAAGAGCCAGTAATAATCAAAATTTGAACTATTACCGGCTCTTGATTTGCTATAAATTTTCTCTAGTCTGAATAAGCCATTCAAGAGCCGGTAAATAATCAAAATTTGAATTATTACCGGCTCTTGATTTACTGGATATTTTATCTGAAGCCAATTAAGAGCCGGTAATAATTGAAATTTGAACTATTACCGGCTCTTGATTTGCTATAAATTTTCTCTAGTCTGAATAAGCCATTCAAGAGCCGGTAAATAATCAAAATTTGAACTATTACCGGCTCTTGATTTGCTGGAAATTTTCTCTAAAGCCATTCAAGAGCCGGTAATATTCAAAATATGATATTTTGTTGGCTCTTCATTTACTAGAAATGTTCTTTGAAGCTATTCAAGAGCCGGTAATAATCAAAATTTGAACTATTACCGGCTCTTGATTTGCTATAAATTTTCTCTAGTCTGAATAAGCCATTCAAGAGCCGGTAAATAATCAAAATTTGAACTATTACCGGCTCTTGATTTGCTGGAAATTTTCTCTGAAGCGATTCAAGAGCCGATAATAATCAAAATTTGAACTATTACCGGCTCTTGATTTGCTAGAAATTTTCTCTAGTCTGAATAAGCCATTCAAGAGCCGGTAAATAATCAAAATTTGAATTATAACTGGCTCTTGATTTACTGGATATTTTATCTGAAGCCAATTAAGAGCCGGTAATAATTGAAATTTGAACTATTACCGGCTTTTGATTTGCTAGAAATTTTCTCTAGTCGGAATAAGCCATTCAAGAGCCGGTAAATAATCAAAATTTGAATTATAAGTCATGCAAGGGCTGGTGATAACAAAATTGGAACTATATTGACTTGATTTACTGGAAATTTTCTCTGAAGCTGAAGCCATTCAAGAGCCGGTAATAATGAAAAATTGAACCAAATATTACCAGAAAATTCTAAGAATCTTAACTTAAATCCGGTGACGAGAAGATTCCAAAGATTCTGCAAACTCCAAAATGCGGTTATCTTGAGATTGGTTGTTTTGGTACCTTGATTACCTATACCATCATGCAGCAAATAGCGTAAAAGATGGAAGAATTGCAATTTCCATCAGATATTGAAATCACAATGTACCTTACTTGAAATTCCACTTACCTACAAGACATCAAAATGGGATTGTAATAAGTATTGTTATCGTGCATGTTCCATTTTTCGTACCATATGGGCGTAATGGTAGTTTTGGTAATCTTCACTTGACCGTCACTAGTTAATACTTGGCAATACATTGTTTTGTTCCAGTTACCTAGAAAAATTAAAAATCAACCCATGATCCTACCATTATCATTCCATAATGACTCAAGATTGTCTTATAATATAGCGATTCGTTACTCTTTTGTATAATCTTTATGGATAAAAAGTTGTCGGAATCAAAAATAACGCCCACAACTCATCAACTCAAAATTTAATTTGATTCGTCATTTCTAATAAAATCTAATTTGAATCAAAGCTAAGTCAGCCTAGTTTTTTTTATAAAAGCAATTCTAGATGGTAATCATCGTTTTAATTTGCAAATAATAGGCGGCAAGAACAATTTACATCGTTTTAGAATGGCCGGAGAATAATAAAAAAAATCTAGATTAATTGCTTGAAAAGTCTTATGGTAATCTAATTAAAATATCTATTGGGTTATACAAGGGTGACCCAAAATTTGATGGTAGGTATATTGGAAGTGATTGCTTATGAGATGTGCAAAGTAGCAAAATTTAAATTTGGTATTTGGTTTTACTTGCATTTTTGAGAGAATTATGAGACAAAACTTTTAGGTAAAAAACTTTATATTATGTTTCTCGATGAATGACTCAATACCATAAATTCAACAAACTGTAAGATGCATATAAAATTGTATAGATAAACTTTTTTTGCTTTTGAAAAAAGCAAACATAAAGGTGTATTACTCCGTTACCAAGTAATTTATGCAACGCATAAACTAGATTTGTGGGTTCGTTTTGAAGCTATAATTGTTATAGAAAAAAACCTAAAGATGTTAATCTGCCATTGTTCTCTTTATCATTTCTTATTATGGAATAATATGAACCTTTGGATTTGAATTGTTCGTTTATTTGACAGCTACACAGTTCTTGTCTTCGAAGTTCTGTTAGAATGCATTACACGCAAATTTTGTTACATGAAAACTTCAAGATAGCTATCTGAAATTGAATGTTTACACGGGCATTTTGTAGCATAGTCATTCTTGGACCTGAAGATACCAGTGAAAAAAGTGTTTCTTTTTTTTAGAAAATCGAATCGATTTATGGCATTATTAGGTTTACTCTGCAATTTTCCATATTTGCATTGGCCTCGAAACCCAGAAGAACCACTTTCTGATGGATTCTATAATTGGATGGTTAACGTAAAAAGTTTGTGGTCAAGAATACCTACGACATACTATATTGATAATGGGCTATATGTGTAAATATTGCATGGAAAAACAGAATTCTTGGTATTGAAGTGTTTTTTGAAAAATAATCTCCTTATACCTATACCTATGTATGGCTAGATTTTACATGAATTTATGTCTATATACCTACTCATGACGCTGGGTATAGGTACATCGGTTTTTCATTAACAAGCTCTTATTTACCTTCATTAACGACAAATTTCACTACGACAAACTTAGAATAGTAAATATTAGGATTTTGAGAAACATGTGAGAGATGATGGATGTTTAGGTACTTATTATTGGTTTCAAATTTAAATCGTATAAGGTACAAGATCAGAAGAAAACCTATATAATGTAACATGTACCTATGCCTAATGATTTCTAGGATCGGTTAATTTCTGGATGAAAATTATCCCATAATTTTGCTCTCATTTTGCTCCATTTTGCTCCACTAATTTCGATTTTTGCTCCATTACAGTGGAGAGACTATGTGGCCTATTAGGTGGGAGGGGCTGAATTAACGCTAGCCCCCCCAGTGAAAATTCAAAAATTTGATCATGCTCATTTTGTTCTCCGAGTTTTGCTCCATTTTGCTCCATTATCGGCGAGTTTTGCTCCATTACCAGGGAAAGACCTACAGAGATTCCAAGAATCTCTCCCAGCCTCCTCCAGTGAAAATTCTGATATTTGATCATGCTCATTTTGCTCTCCGAGTTTTGCTCCATTTTGCTCTATATACTCGGCGAGTTTTGCTCTATTATCAGGAGAGACCTACAGAGCTCTCAAAAATCTCTCCTAGACCCCCCGGGGGTCAGTTAAGTTAGCCCCCCCCCATAAAAAATTTCTGGATGAAAATTATCCCATAATTTTGCTCTCATTTTGCTGCACTAATTTCGATTTTTGCTCCATTACAGTGGAGAGACTATATGGCCTCTTAGGTGGGGGGGGGGGGGGGCTGAATTAACGCTAGCCCCCCCAGTGAAAATTCAGAAATTTGATCATGCTCATTTTGTTGTTCGAGTTTTGCTCCATTTTGCTCCATTATCGGCGAGTTTTGCTCCATTACCAGGAGAGACCTACAGAGCTCCCAAAAATCTCCCCTAGCCTACCCCGGTAAAAATTTTGAAATTTGAACATGCTCATTTTGTTCTCCGAGTTTTGCTCCATTTTGCTACATAATCGGCGAGTTTTATTCTTTACCAGGAGAGACCTACAGAGCTCCCAAAGATATCTCTCAGGGGGGGTTAACTAGGAGAGATATTGGGAGCTCTGTAGGTCTCTCCTGGTAATAGAATAAAACTCGCCGATTATGGAGCAAAATGGAGCAAAACTCGGAGAACAAAATGAGCATGATCAAATTTCAGAATTTTCACTGGGGGGGGGGGGGGGGGGCTAGGCGAGATTCTTGAGAGCTCTGTAGGACTTTCCTGGTAATAGAGCAAAACTCGCCGATAATGGAGAAAAATGGAGCAAAACTCGGAGAACAAAATGAGCATGTTCAAATTTCAAAATTTTTACCGAAGTAGGCTAGGGGAGATTTTTGGGAGCTCTGTAGGTCTCTCCTGGTAATGGAGAAAAACTCGCCGATTATGGAGCAAAATGGAGCAAAACTCGGAGAACAAAATGAGCATGATCAAATTTCAGAATTTTCACTGGGGGGGGGGGGGGGGGGGCTAGGCGAGATTCTTGGGAGCTCTGTAGGACTTTCCTGGTAATGGAGCAAAACTCGCCGATAATGGAGAAAAATGGAGCAAAACTCGGAGAACAAAATGAGCATGTTCAAATTTCAAAATTTTTACCGGGGTAGGCTAGGGGAGATTTTTGGGAGCTCTGTAGGTCTCTCCTGGTAATGGAGCAAAACTCGCCGATAATGGAGCAAAATGGAGCAAAACTCGAACAACAAAATGAGCATGATCAAATTTCTGAATTTTCACTGGGGGGGGCTAGCGTTAATTCAGCCCCCCCCCCCCCCCACCTAATTGGCCATATAGTCTCTCCACTGTAATGGAGCAAAAATCGAAATTAGTGCAGCAAAATGAGAGCAAAATTATGGGAAAATTTTCATCCAGAAATTTTCTATGAGGGGGGGCTAACTTAACTGACCCTGATTTCTACAGCATATTGAATGAATATTCCAAAAATCAACAAAAGTAGAGGTTTTGCAAAAAATACATATGTATATCTAATCTGAAAGAAAAGAAGTAAAATTCCTATGTAAGTATTTTAATAAACAGAATTACAAATTGTACACTAAATAAGCAGAAAAACATGTAACAAGCACCGACAAACAAATAAATCCTTGTTATAACTTTCGATCATTAAATTCCGAATTCAAAAAATAATGAGGCGCTTCCATAAGAAGCTCCGCATATTTTTGTATCAATTAAGGTTTTTACCTTTGACTACACCAACGATTCTCAAGTAACGATAAGGATACAATCTTTCGTCCAGTGTAAGTGACGTTACGTAGACTTCTTCGTTTTCAATTTTCTTCCAAAACAATCCATCTTTGTAATAGGAAATATTGTCACTTATAGCAAATTGTTTGTCACAATAAAATTCTTCTCCGTCAAGTTCGATTTGTTTGTTTAATGAATAAGCCACAATTTTTTTCACTAATGTTGTTTCACTATTTTTAATTGAAGGAGTTGAATTTGTATTGTAAAATATCATAAATATTGTGAAAAATATGAACAAAACTGTCCAGTGATAAGTTTGTAATATATTCATATCATAATTGATACTGACAAGGCGCGAAAAAATCAACGCGGCTCACCGGACAAAGTTTAAATTTAAAATGATCCTGCTGCTATAGCAGGAACAAAAGTCGACTCTTCCATCGAAATGATTCACTTGTCTTGGTAGCCTACATATGGGCACTAGCCGAGGTTCTCTTGTATTGCAATTCTCACGACTTTAGTGTTTTATTTGTTGGTTTTTGTCACGATTAGAACACTTTTTGATAGCGGTTTCGTATTCGTTACGGTCCGCGGTGTTTTCAAACCGCATAGAGGACAAGGTGTCAGTTATTATTATGCAATTATAACATTACTTTTCGTTTTGGACGTGAACAGATGGCAATAATGATGATGCATCGTCGTGCAAGTTGTTATTGGCGCCTATTTATGAAATTTTCTTTTCCGGATAATTTTATACAGTTATAATCTGAGGTCATAGGTATTTGCCTATAACGTCCAATTTTCCAAAATCCAAGTAGGTATAATTGTCTCAAAGTGGCTATTTTGGTCAGAGTTATTCAGATAGTCTGCTCAGGAGGATTATTGGATGAAACCTGAATTTCCAGATCATTGTGGAGCCTGTATAATACAATCCCGAGCTTATGCAAAACCCGATGGGAAAGAATCTAGATTCTATATACCAGATACCTCAAAATTTAATGTATAGAGCTCATAAGAATCTATAGGAAAATTTCCATATTAACGTAATGTAGATAAGCCTTCAACCTTCCAAGATTATTCTGAAACCTATAAAGCTCATAAAGAATCTATAACTCAAGTTGTTGAGAGATGTAGAATTGGAACAAAGTAAGAGGACAACTATGTCTTTGGATTATTTTAAAAGCAGATGAGTATTCAAGACTTCAATAACTAAAGCCAATAAATAAATTCTCTAAAAATCCATATTAATAGTTTCAATTCAGAAGTCATTTGAGTTTGATTTTTATTTAAAGTTTTCGACAAAATTTAGAGTAAACTAACTCAACTTTGAGGCTCGATTATTCAAAAACTTTCTGAGCAATTACACTCAATTTTGCATGGATTTATAAAGAATTTAATGCTCTTTCCGATGGTGTATAATTTATTTCAATTTGCTCAAAATTTAACAAAGATATGGCCAATTGCTCATGACCGTGTCAAGATTTTGAAAATTTTACAGACCCAAAAATAGAATTTTCTTTTTATTTTTGCTTCTGCTTGAAATAACCATTTGGAAATGATGTTAGGGTTGTTTTTCACTAATTTGGACCCGCTATATCAATGGGTGAAGTCAAAATTGAGCAAAACTAAAAAATAAAAAAATCGAGTTTTTCTTAAGGGTAGGTACCCCCTTTGAATTTTGATTTCACAATATTCAAACCTCAATTGCTCGGTAATCGTTGAGCAAATTGCATTGAAATTTTCAGCATTTGTAGCTCTTATCAATCTCTAAAAGACCTGTAATTTACAATATTCCTAGATTTATAGTTTTTGAGAAAATTGAGTTCGAAGTTTTTGACAAAATTTAGGGTAAAACTCAACTTTGGAGCTCAATTATTCAAAAACTTCCTGGGCAATCACACTTAATTTTGCAAGAATTTATAGAGAATTTAATGCTCTTTCCGATGGTATATAATTTATTCCAATTTATTCGAAATTTAACAAAGATATGGGCAATTGCTCATGACCATATCAAGATTTTGAAAATTTTCTAGATCCAAACATAGAATTTTCTTCTTATTATTTTTGTTTCTGCTTAAATGGCCATTTGGAAATGATGTCAGGATTGTTTTCTACTAATTTTGACCCGCTCTATCGATTGGTAGAGTCAAAATTGAGCAGAAGTGGAAATTAAAAAAATCGAGTTTTTCTTAAGGGATACCCCTTTGAATTTTAATTTTAAAATCTTCAAACCTCAATTGCCCGGTAACCGTTGGGCAAATTGCATTGAAATTTTCGAAATTTGTAGCTCTTATTAAGCTCTAAATGGCATGTAATTTACAATATTCCTAGGTGTATAGTTTTTGAGAAAATTGAGTTTGAAGTTTTTGACAAAATTTAGACTAAAAGTCAACTTTGAGGCTCAATTATTCAAGAACCTTCTGGGCTATGAAACTCAATTTTACACAGATTTATAGAGAATTTAATGCTCTTTCCAATGGTGTATAATTTATTCCAATTTGCTCAAAATTTAATAAAGATATGGGCAATTGTTCATGACTATGTCAAGATTTTGAAAATTTTTCAGAGTCAAAAATAGGATTTTATTTTTATTTTTGTTTCTGCTTGAAATAGCCATTTGCAAATGATGTCAGGATTGTTTTCCACTAATTTTGACCCGCTTTATCGATTGGTAGAGTCAAAATTGAGCAAAAGTGAAAAATAAAAAAATCGAGTTTTTTATAAGGGATACCTCTTTGAATTTTAATTTTAAAACCTTCAAACCTCAATTGCTTGGTAACCGTTGAGCAAATTGGATTGAAATTTTCTGCATTTGTAGCTCTTATAAAGCTCTAAATGGCCTGTAATTAACAATTTTCCTAAGTGTATAGTTTTTGAGAAAATTGAGTTTGAAGTTTTTTGACAAAATTTAGACTAAAAGTCAACTATGAGGCTCAATTATTCAAAAACCTTCTAGGCTATGAAACTCAATTTTGCACAGTTTATAGAGAATTTAATGCTCTTTCGAATGGTATATAATTTATTTCAATTTGCTCAAAATTTAACAAAGATATGGGCAATTGCTCATAACCATGTCAAGCAAGCTAGAAGGAATTTTTATTATTTTTTTTCTAAATTTTAATGCTTTCCCTATATTTGCCCAAAATATCGATTTAAACTTTCTCTATTGAGGATCCTTTAGCAAGCTGAACAAGCCGAAGAGAACAATGTAGGTATACGTACAATGTAAAAAAAAATGCATGGAGGACACGAAGATTTGTTGTTGGAAAAAATGAAGAATGCACTATACAGTACTTAAGGTACAGTAGGTACCAAAAGTTTTTCATCTCTATGCAGCAAAGGTTATCTTCAGATATAGCAGGTACAGTTTCTAGAATCTATAATTATTGGACAGTTTTGGGATTTTCCCCAATATTTTCCAAGTTACTTGTGTCGCCAATGTATTTTAACAACGGCACGCTTCAGAGCCATTAGGAGAACATCATTAAATTACAAACTGTAAACGAAAACTACTAGAAAGGAAATGCATAGTTAATAAATTAATGTCTATACAGTTACACATCTTATGACAATAATTTAATGTTTAGAATAAGGCTAATTGCACCTAACAGTACGTCAATATGTTTTAAAAATTACATCGATTACTATAAGTACTTGAAAGTAAAGCGGTTTATAACCGTTGGCACGTACTATTATTATTTACAGCGTAACGGCATGTGATGTTTTACTACTTCATCAGAGAAATACTATCTCAGTAATTACATTGGTGATACTAAAACCTACACAGTACCCAATTCACCAATTGTACCTGTGTGTGGTCTAAAAAGCCGGCACAATGGGTCTAGCTGACAAATTTACGAGGCTGCTGCCGGTACCAAAGCACCAAGCAGCACTTGTTTCAGCGATTTTTTGCTTGCGCTAAAAGGAGACTCGATTGCGATCTTTAACTCCGTGATTGGAAATTCTGATTTTGTTTGTGGATTCTATCCACTATTGTGAGATTTTTTCAAAGACCTTATGTCCTTGTGTTGCGACATGTTTATTGTCCACTGACTGTCTTAATTTCGATAAACCTGATTGATCTTTATGTTACAGAATTTATACATATCTATCATTGTTCTTCTTTGGTTTCAGGCCTTTTATATTGTGTTGAAGTCTTCGCCTCTAGATTCTTCATTTCTCATATCCTAAATTATATGCAGATGATACCAATAGTTATTTCTCATTACGATCAGAAGATCTTGAGATATAGGTACCTACACATTACTAATTAAGATCGTCTTATTAAAGTTTTTAGGAAAATAACAGTAGGTAGAAATCTTTAATAAATTCCGCATATAATTATTATACAATCTGATATTTAAATTCCATATAACTGTAAGTGCCAACCGGAGCATCTCATAAATTTATTATACATGACAAAAAGCCACTAAAAATTTGCCACTCGATTCGCTCTTCAAGATTGATTAGATCGTCGTTGAACGGGGTTTTTGTTTTTAAATTGGCGTGAGAAATCCTCGTGAAAGTTTCAGCTAAATTAGTGAGAGTATATAACATCTAGTTGGCTGATTTTTAATCAGATGGACCAGTTTTTTGTTTTTCTTCCTAGGACAGAAAGCAGTTTGTTCCAGCCAGAAGCATTTCTTATTCAAGTAAAACTTGCAAGGTTTTTCTCACAATCTTACAATCCATCAATAAAAACGCGTCGTTTCTAAAAAACAATGAAGAAAGTCCATTATTTGCGCTTCTGATTCTAATTGCTCGTCCATTCTATGCCCATTTAAATTGCTATTTTGATTATATCTAGGTACTAAAGAGAAGCCTTTAATCAGAAGCAAATATCTCCAATTGAAACAGCCGCAGCAATCTTAGTTTAATTACAATGCACTCCATATACATAGTGTAGTGTTCTGAATGCACTTCTGGTGATTGACTGGTATTGTTAAATCAGTCATCATATGTCAGAGTTAGTCATTAGTCATGAAATTGAGTTGTGCATTATTTAGTTATTTCGAGTCAATAAATGATTTGAATTTAATGATACCAATGTGTATCATTTAGAAGTCTAATACACAACATAATTGGCGACGAGAATCGATCTGAAACCACGCCGATAGTGAAGTACAAAGCCCTGGCTGGTGGGCATATTATTAAAAAGTCAAGTCATTGAAGTCTGTTGTCAAAAAAGTCCGTAAGGTAAGAGTCCAAAAAGCTTAATCATGGCTTTAATTGGTAGTATTGAGTCTTTTAATCCGAAAGAAAACGAAATTACTTCATATTTAGAAAGATTGGAGCAGTTATTTAAGTGTAATAATATTTCTACCGAAGAAAAGAAAGTTCCATTGCTAATTACCTTAATGGGGGGTGAGGCTTATGATATTTTAAAAGATTTGTTAGCCCCAGTGTTGCCCAGTACAAAAACGTATGATGAATTAACCGATGAATTAAGGAAGCACTATAGTCCAAAGAGATTGGTTATAGCAGAAAGGTATCGG